TCCTGGAAGTCCCTTAAAGACTGCCTAAGGTCAGAAGGGGTCAACAGCTGACATCATCAGAGGCAGATCCAGAAAGAAAGAAAGAAAGAAAAAAAGCGGTCTCCTACGAGAGAAGTTCACACCACAAAGTCAGGAAGTTGAGACAGATCAATTTAAGAAGGAGAAGCAAAGAAGAAGAGTCTCACAAATAATGGGAAGAAAAAGAAACACCACCTCCCCCAGCAAAGGGAAAGGAGGAATCCCCAGAAGTAGAACTAAATGAAATAGAGGCATGTAAACTATCAGATATTGAGTTCTAAACAATGATCCTAAGGAAGCTCAGTGAGCTCACTGAGCTCAAAGTGAATTACCAAAAGTTACAGGGAAACTATGAGGAACTTATTGCAAACTATATCAGCATGAAAAAAGACATAGAAACTATCACTAAGAGACAAGAGGAAGTGAAGAATACAATTTCTGAATTGAAAAACACAGTAGAAGGAATCAAAAGCAGGCTAGATGAGGCAGAGGACTGAATCAGTGAGTTGGAAGACAAGGTAGAAAAAAGCTCCCAGAAAGAGCAAGAAAATGAAAAAAGACTAAAAAAAAAAAAATGAAGAGGCATTAAGAGAAATGCAGGACAACGTGAAATGTAATAACATCCGTATAATAGGTATACCAGGAAGGAGAAGAGGAACAAGGGATAGAGAACCTGTGTGAAAAGGTCATGATGGAAAACTTCCCTAATTGGAGGAGGAAAAAAGTCGCACAAGTCCAGGAAGCAAAGAGGGTCCCATTCAAGAGGAACCCAATGAAGCCCACTCCAAGACACATCATCATTAAAATGACAAACATCAAAGACAAAGAGAGAATCCTAAAGGCAGCAAGGGAGAAACAGGTAGTAACATTACAAGGGAGCCCCGATATGGCTAGCAGCTGACTTCTCAACAGAAACACTACAAGCCAGAAGGGAATGGTAAGAAATATCCCAAGTACTGAAAAGAAAGGTTCTATAGCCAAGACTACTCTACTCAGCAAGGCTCTCAATTAAAATGGAAAGCGAAGTAAATAGTTTCCCAGACAAAGGAATCTTAAAGAATACACCTCCACCAAACCAGCACTATAAGATATGTTAAAGGGACTGCTTTAAGAAGATGAAGAAAAAGAATGAGAAAGCGAGGATCACAGAATTTCCAACTACCTAAAAAAAAAAAAAAGAAACTTAAAATCGATTTAGACTTAAATATAAGCCTTGAATTCATAAAACTATTCGAAGAAAACCTAGGCAGTATTTTATTTGGACATTTCTCTTAATATTTTTGACATCTTTCCTCGGGTAAGGTAAACAAAATAAAAAAAATAAACAAATTGGACTACATCAAACTAAAAAGCTTTTCCACAGCAAGGAAAACAGTCAACAGAATCAGCAGATAGAAGGTATCTGTCATTGAAGCATCCCATCAGATGTTTTGGTTAATATCCAAAATTTATAAAGAACTCAGGCAGTGCGACATCAGCAAAACAAACAATCCAATTAAAAAGTGGGCAGAAGACCTGAAGAGATGAGACTCTTCTCCAAAAAGGACATACAGTTGGCCAGTAGACATATACAAAGATGCTCAACATAACTAATCATCAAAGGAATGTAAATCGAAATCACAATTAGATATTACCTCATACCTTTCAGAAAAGCTATCATTGATAAATTAAACAACAAGTACTGGCGAGGATGTGGAGAAAAGGGAACCCTAGTGTGCTGTTGGTGGGAATGTACCCTGGTGCGGCCACTGTGGAGAACAGTACGGAGAACAGTATGGAAGAGTCCTTAAAAAATTAAAAATGGAACTGCCTTAAGACCAAGTGTTTCTGAACTGGGTATATATGCAAAGAAACCCAAAACACTAATTCAAAAAAATATATCCACCCCATGTTCACTGCAGCATTATTTACAAAAGCCAAAATATGGGAACAACCCAGATGTCCATCAACATACAAGTGTATAAAAAAAGCAGTGGTACATATATACAATGGAATGTTATTTTGCTATAAAAGGAATAAAATCTCATCATTTGTGATAACATTGATGGTCCGAGAGGGTATTACGCTAAGTGAAATAAGCCAGACAGAGAAAGACAAACCATGTGATTTCACTTCTGTGTGGACTCTGAAGAACAAAAAATAAGTGAATAAATAAAACAGAAACAGCCTTATAGCTACAACAGACTGATGGAGGCCAAAGAGAGATGACAGGGGGCGGGTTGGAGGGCAGATAAACAAAGGTTATAGGACTAAGTACTAATTGATAGCGACAAAACAGTCAAGGGCTGTGAGGTGAAGCATTGGAAACGTAGTTAACAACACCGTGATGCCTGTCCATGGTGCCAGGTGGGCACTTGAATTACCTGAGGGACACTTTGTAACCTGTATGGGTGTCTATCTGCTAAGCTGTACAATTGAAACTAATACAAAAGGGTGTTGAATGCAAACTGTAAGTGGAAAATAAAGTTAAAAATACATATATAAAGCAAAAGTAAAATGTCATTTTTATCATACATACATTTTATTATACATACACTTTATATTATACAGGAGTTTATATATTACAGTTTAAGGCATCAGTGATATACTAAAGCCATGCACTCTTAAGCATACGAAAGCCACATACGTGTTGCCAGAAAGTAGATACATTTCCCCCATATTTTAATTGCAGGTGCACTCAAAGTCGTCTTCCAGGCCCAGGTCCTCCTTTGCTCCCCAAGTGGCAGCCAGATACTCTTACAGAGCCATATTACTCTCCTGCCCAGAAGAGCTCTTCTAAGACTTTCTGCTTCACTTTTCAGCAAAAACGAAAGGCCCTGCAGCGGCCGCCAGTGAGCAAACCTGCGCACTGGCCTTGCTTCACCCCCAGCTGCTGACCTCTCTCTTTCTGCCCCAGCACACCGACCGCTGCTGTCGGGGAAGGTGCCAGGCAGCTCCTGCCTCAGGCCCTTGGTGCTCGCTGCTCCCTCCACTGCCAGTGGTCCCCGTGGCTTCCTGCAGACGGCCTTCCAGTCATCACCTCCCCTCAGCTTTTTCGTGTTCACGCTGTTTATTGTGAACTGAAACCTCTTCCGTTTCCTTAAGCTCTTCCTGTCCTCTTTACGGCTTTATGATCTATGGTCAGAAGCATATGTTTTCCATCATATACACAAAATATGTTTTCATTTCATTTATACTTAAAACAATATAGTTTAAAATTATATTTACATTTTAAAATAAATTTAGTTTACTAAAATCTATGTATTTATGTAGTTAAAAAAACATTTTCCACCGTAAGTTCAGCCAGCTGTGAGTTGGGGCTTTCCTTCTGTGCCGTCCCCTGCTCTGTCCCCATCTGTGAGGACAGCGTTGGCCCTGGGTGGGTGCTCAGTGCACAGCGATCGGAGGCGTGAAAAGGTGAATCTCTCAGACCCTCCTGATGCGCCACTCCCACCAACCTCAGAGGAATTCTCTCTGATGTGTAATTTAGAATCCTTTTATCCACACCCTGCTTACCATGGCTAATATTGAAAAGGTGATGGAGCAAATGCTGCGGAGGATGTAGAGCAACTGGAGCATCGTCTGCAGCTGTGGGGAGGAGAAAAGGCAGAGGCCTTGTTCCGCTCCTAGGTGTTTGCAGGCACGTGTGCACGTGCAGATGTGTTTGTGACGCTTGAGGACAGCTTTGCTTCCTAGCCCCATACTAGAGACTACGCAAATGCCCGTCAGCCGATGGGCGGGTGGTGAAACCTGGGTGTGTCACAGGTAGGGGGCGCTGCAGGGCGGTAACCAGGAGCGAGGGGCCGACCTGTGCCGCGACACAGCTGGCTCTCAGGGCCCTCAGTCTGCATGAAAACAGCCAGGTGCAGCAAGCACCTGCTGGATGGCTGCGTGCCTATGTGTTGTGCAATGTGCCAGCCAGTGCGCTGTGACCAGAGGCAGGCTGTCCAGGCTGAGCCGTGTCAGGAGGGCGGTGACGGGCACGGATGTGTGGGCCCCTCAATGCTCGTTGAGCTGACACTTCAAATGGATGAGTTTATTGCGCATGAATTATACCTTGAGAGAAATGATATAAGACATTTTTAGCTGTGTTACTTCTTTTCAAAATGGCTTTAGCTTGAGCCACGTGTAACTTAATTTCTTTAATAAGTTGATCTAACAATCTACTCCCATTGATAATGCCTACTTTAGGGGTTTCTTTTAAAACTGGATCAGTTATGAAATATTGTCAAGCATCAACATTCATACAAAAACAATTAAGCAAAAACAGAAAGCTGACTCATGGACATGGACAGCAACGTGGTGGTTGTGGTGGGTGGGGGCGTGTAAGTGGTAATGGGAAAAAATAGAATTAAAATTTTTAAAAAGGCAAAGCTAAGCAGAAATTTTGATGTGTTCAATTCAACAATACTGAAAGTAGGTGGTATTATCACACATTTTATAGACAGCAAAACTATCTTAAAAAGTTAAGGAACTTGCTCAGAACAGTGCAGTAAATGACGCAGGTCAGATGTGAACCCGAGGCCGCTGGACTCCAGCCGAGTTTTCTGTCTCTCTGTGGCTCTTCTCACACACTCCTGTCTTTCCCATTAAACTGATATGTCATTTTGGATGTAATTCGCTTTAAACATTCTTTGTGTCTTAGATCTTTACTATCTCGGATGGGCTACATATCATTAGACATTTCAGAAACTTATCAAATATTGTGATTTATTTTTGTAGGTAAAATTCACAAATTAAATGATAAAAATTTAGGAATATTTTTCTTTCATGAAGTTTATTCATACATATTTTTAGGGTAGCACTTTGTTACGGTTTTTGAATATTTCTAAATGTAAGTTTTTTCTAAAGGGAGTTCATGTGGCTTGTCATGCGAGTAAAAAGAACTTTCAAAGCTGTATTTGTTACAAACCACCCTTGGGCGGCACCACTTGCCACGTCTAGCATAAGCTTCTGACTTGTCACCCGAGGGGTCACGCTTCTGCTCCTCGCCCTGCCCGTAGGTCGTGCGATACCTGGCAGGCTGTGGACTGCAGAGCTGCCAGATGCTGGTGTCCAGGGGGTACCCGGACATTGGGTGGAACCCCGTCGAAGGGGAGCGGTACCTGGACTTCCTCCGATTCGCTGTCTTCTGTAACGGTAGGACTGGCTGCCGTGGGGTCCTCTTCGGTCATTGGTACAACTGCATAAAAATAGTTATCAAAATAATGATCTAACCCGGTACTGTCATGAAGGAAGAAGTAAATATTAGGAAAGAAATTGAGTATTTTATAATCATTTTTTACAGTTAACAGTTTATTTTACAATATTTGTTTTGATAGTGATGCTATACATCATTATTAGAATAAAAAAGTTTGGAACGTATATTCAGATACATTTTTGTAATTGGATTCTAATAATGCCTAGGACTATGGCTTCGAATAATACTTTGCTTTGAAAATTTTAAGTGCAAGAACAGAAAATGACTGTCTTGTGCATGAAAAACTGGTAACCTGAGTTTAGTTTTGGCTTTACCACCGTGCTCATTGGTTTTAGTTATTTTTCTCTAAATGTAAATGAATTAACATGACGTCCGTGTGGCCCACGGTGTGTGCTTACCCAGGGGAGAGCGTGGAGGAGAACGCGAATGTCGTGGTGCGGCTGCTCATCCGGAGGCCCGAGTGCTTCGGCCCCGCTCTGCGGGGGGAGGGCGGGAACGGTCTTCTGGCGGCCGTGGAAGAGGCCATCAAAATAGCTGAGGACCCTTCTCGAGATGGCCCGTCACCAACCAGCGGGTCCAGCAGAGCCCCGTAGGTCTAATACACACACTCTTGGGAGTAAATTGTGCTGCTTGACTTGAAACTGTACAACATGGAATTTGCATTCCGTTAATTGCAACATAACTCATGATATCTCCCCTTGAAAGTCAAGGATATTGGATGTGGAAGAGTGGGTGGGATTTGCTGCTGGAACAGGCTGGGTGCACAGAGGGGACCTGCGGGAGGCTGGCTTTAGTAGAGGAATTAGGTTGTGGGACCTAATTGTACTTAGTGACTTTTCCCTGGGACTCTGAAAAATCTGGTTCTTCCAGGTGATGGCAGTAGGGCTTCACGGGAGGCCAGTTAGAATGCGTTCAGACAGTCATAAAAGAGGAAGAGACCGCCAGCAGGAGAGTTGGGGGCCTTAGTCCAGGGATGGGCGTGGCCTGGTGTTCGGAGTGAAACACTCGGCTCAAGCCTTGGTGACAGAGGGGAGACGATAACCCCTTACGTGTGTCCACAGTGTGGGTTGTTAGTGCTTTGTTTCATCCATGGACATAGGTCGTTCCAGGCATGTTGCTCCTACTTTTTAAACCTGGGAGGTGACCATCCTGCTAGGGAGTCATATATCCCCACTGCTGGCACTATTGGTAGAGAAATAACAGGGCCTATTGGAGGCAAAGTTCCAAACTTCCAAGTGGCCCTGCGAACCCTGCTGACGTGTAGCCTGGACCCAGGTGTTCTGTCCACTCCAGTCCAGGGCTCCAGACTGGGAGGGCTGCTGGGAGTGGGTTGGTGGGTAAGAGCCGAGTGAGTGGAGTCACATTTGTGCAGGGCTTGCTCTGGGGAAAACACTGCACTGGATGCCTTTCATATGTGACCTTCTAGGACAGACTTTTGTCACCTTTTCTCTAAATGTATCTGTTCACAAAAGTGTTCCAAACTTACCAAATCCTTCCGTCAACTATTTTCTTTGTTAATAAGCTGCTGCTACAAATGAGCACACTCATCACATTGGCAATTCCTCTTTTTCCCTTTTGAAAGGACCTTCGTATTCAGGTTCCCACAAGTGTGTTCTTGTTGATAGAATCTCAAATTGGGTCTTCAACAAACTGTCATTTTGCTTTAAAACGTCCAGCTGTAAATTAAACACACACACGAAAAGCATCAGAGTGAATTACCTGGTGGTCCTGTCCCCTGAGGATACGCGGTAAACCAGGAGCATGGTTCTGTTATCCCTGTTTGATTTGCCTTCTGTTTCTTTGGGATGATCCGCGAAAGTGACACAGAAGAGGAGGACGACACTGTCCACATGGGGAATGCCATCATGACCTTTTACGCGGCCTTGATTGACCTGCTGGGGCGCTGTGCCCCTGAAATGCACGTAAGTGCCCAGGGCCAAGCAGCCCCCTGCTCCTCTGTGGGGAGACAGCAGAGGGAGAGGGGTCCCCGCAGCGCCAGGCATGGCTCTTCGTGCTCTTGAAAGGTCACAGGGCAGCCTAATTGCCGAATGAGAGTGAGTGTAGCTGGAAAGGTCTTGCTGGTTGTAAAAATTAGCAGTGGGATTTGAGCGCAGGCCGTCAGTAGAACGGTCAGTTCCCGACCGCTCTCTGGAGCTCGACTGGCCTCCGGCCCTGGGAGAAGAAGAGAACGCGTTTTCTCTACCTATCGCCCTCTCCTATTTCAGCATACGCAGAAAAGGCCGCTTCTGTTGAATCCTTTTCTTGCTGTACAGCATTTAGTCCGCATGAGGGAGCTGCTCTGTGCGGGGCCCTAGTGTGGGGAAGTGCGTCGGGTGGGTTGCGGGGGAGAGAGCTATTCAGCCTAGATCAATTAGTGTTTTCTGGCCTTTCTGACCAAGATGAAATTAAAGTTTCATGAATCAATACTTAACTTTTACTCTGAAATACGTCCTGACATTGTCATCTTTATTTTTCCATCTATGCTGTTTCATTCTATTATATTCATTTAAAAAATGCTTGCCAGGGCCCGTAGCATTAGCCTCGTTGCCTGCTCGTGGGAAGCGAGGTGGGGTTTGGTTACGTGGGGCGGAAGATGAACTCACTTCCAGGCTGGTCCACGCAGTGAGTGGGCGGCTGGCGTTTACAGGTCACACTGTCTCCCACCCTGAGCATCTGTGGGATTTTTGTTTTCTGGGATTTTCCTGAGCGGGGGCAGTGTCTCTCACACCCATTGGTTAAAACTTTCCTGCTTTCTGGATATAATTTGTTGTTGTGAATGGAGAGGAATCACAGGATGGAGAAATGTCAGAATATTAGAAAACCTAATTCCTGATTTTTATAAAAACTTCACTTGCTGTTGATGTGATTTTAATCATATAAATAGACTTTCAAAAATCTTTATTCTGGAAGTGATTATAGAGAAATACCTTTATCATCACAATATTTGTTCTTTGCCTGGCAGGGTGTCCAACCCGGGGCCCAGAATAGCTGTGAATGTGGCCCGACACAAAATTGTAAATTTAAGAAAAACCTTTTTTTTTTTTTTTTTGTGCTCATCAGTTTTTGTTAGTGTTTGTATATTTAATGTATGGCCCAAAACAACTCTTCTTCTTCCAGTGTGGCCCAGAGACGCCAAAAGGTTGGACACCCCTGTAAGTAAAAGATCAAAGGAACCAAGGAAGGAAGTACGCTAACAAATGGAAGTCTCTTGTCTTGTCATATTATGGCGGAGAGATCTAAGTGACTTAACAAGGGACTCACCTTGGCACTTCTGATGTTTATTAGTCTTAGTAGCTGTCATCTGAGGACCCCTGTGTGTCAGAACTTGTGCTTGTGTTTCACACCCTGTGCTGAGGGACACAGACACCTGCCTGGCTCTGAGGCCTGTGGTCTGTCCTGGGGGCTGGCCCAGGTCCTTTGCTCTCTCAGAGCTGTGTCTTCATAGGTATTTCATTAGCCAGTGATGGTCTCAAAGACCTGTTAGATTCATGATCTCCATTTACCTCCATATTGTGAACCCATCCTTGGGAGAAATCAGGGTGGGCTTATAGATGGATATGCAATTATATTTTCATTACAAAGCAAGAAAAGCTAAATCAATCATAAATATTAGTATATGTCCATGGCCTAAAGATAATGAATTCCTTTGCATTATTACTCATGTTGTGGATAGGTATCTGCATGTAATTTTGGTGAGATAAGCATTAATAGACTTTTTAGAATCTCAATATTTTTTCAGTACCTCAAAGAGGATAGAAACTACTATTTTGACGGGTCGACCAGCTGACCTAGACCATAGTATGTAACTCAGTGTATGTTGATGTCAATGAAAAGTGTGTAGGCAAGTAAATATCTGTCTGTAAGCCTGAAAACAGTTTTTGAGCGAGGTCTATCTACCTTTATATATTTGCTTAACAGAAAATCATTTTAGACTCAGATACCCAAGCTTCAACTTGTAGATAGAACTCTAACATTCATTTTGCGAAGTGATTCTAATGTTCCTTTGTTTTTCTTCCTGTAGTTGATTCATGCTGGTAAGGGAGAAGCCATCAGGATCAGATCCATTTTGAGATCCCTCATCCCATTGGGCGACTTGGTAGGAGTGATCAGCATCGCCTTCCCGATGCCCACAGTAGCCAAAGGTGAGGCCTGCTCTTTGTAGGTCAGTAGGATGTTGGATGACATATGTCACCGGTGCTCAGAATCTCCCTCCCTGCTGCCTGGGGACACTACTTAACTTTCTTTAAAACAAGAAAAGAACCATAAAGTGCATAATTTTGTAAAATATTTCCTAGTCTCATTGCATTTAAACAGCTGTATTTCCAATTAGGAAAGAAGCCCTTCAGCTGTTGCACCTGATTTCCCTGCTGCTATTCTTTGGGCCCAGAGTTGCCTGTCTTTCTTGACCACAATTCCTTAACTCATTCTGTCTGATAGTTTTCATAGTCACTTTTTTATTGTTCCCTGCCCCACCCCCAAAATGGCGATCATAGCTTTGGGCTTAGAGATTTAAAAATTGCCAGTATGTTGAAAGAAGTTCTTTTTTCAAGACCGAGGAGAAAATGTTTTTAAAATAATTTTCTTCTGCTTGACCCCAATGCTTATTGTCCTTATCCAACATGCCATTTTTTTGGTGTGGAAACTGCTTGGGATTAGTTTTCCAACTTTAACTCAAAAGCATGTTTAATAAAGTCAGCCTCCTATCTAAAGATCAGTACCTCTACTTGATATTAGCTAAGGGCCTTCCTCAAACATTTTATCACACTTCTAGAACAGGAGTGTGGCCCAGAGTAACAGTGGAAGAGGGAGGGGTTCAGAAACCTTGAAGGCAAGCAGCTGTCTCAGGAGCACACAGGAGACTTCGCTCCCACAGTTCTGGGTGCAGGCAGGTCAGACAAAGTCCGAGGCAGTTAATTCTGACACAAGAACCCTGCAGACCCCAAGGGTAAAGCCAGTGCCCTGGCGTCCTCAGTCCAGTTCACAGACGAGATGTCTGAGAGGAGGCCGTCTGTGGGCTTTGTTGTCTTCAGGGGCTTGAGGAGATGGCGAATAGACTGCAGCCTCTGTAGCACATCAGGGAGTTCAGGGTCCCAGGTGGATGCAGTCATCACATTCCTTAAAAGGATGAGTGTTTAAAACACAAACTTACCTTAGGGTCAGTGAGTTGCTCACCATTTTCTTAAGCTCAGCTATATGTTAAAATAATAGAATCTGATACATTTAAATTTTGTGTCGATTTTTAGGAGACTTGAGCTAGAATTTCATATAGGCTTTTAATGGAAAATTTTAAGTCCTGGCTGGGTAGCTCAGTTGGTTAGAGTGTCGTCCTGATGCGCCAAGGTTGTGGGTTTGATCCTGGGTCAGGGCACATACAAGAATCAACCAATGAATGTATGAATAAGTCGAACAACAAATCGTTGTTTTTCTCTCTCTCTCCCCCCGTCTCTCTCTCAAATCAATAAATACAAGAGAAAATTTTAGTGCACTGATTTAACACTAGGTTGAATCAGTTTTGTTTGGATTTTAAATCCAATTTTAGTTGGTTTACATTTAAATTTGCCAATTAATAGGTGAAAAACATTAGTTTTTAATTTTTAATCTCATTTCCTTTAAAACATTGTTATTTGCTTATTTTCATGATGAAAATATCAAATTCATTCATTGACTATGAATGAAAACAAAAAGTTTGTTTTGGAATGATTATGGTCATGTATCACCTTTATTTGAGTCCTTCTTTGTTCAAGGTTGCGTCATTAGTAAAGAGTCTGTGGTGTTCTTTGTGGAACCTCTGGAGAGTTACGAGCAGCATTTGGCATAATTATCACATGGCCAAACAGGAAACACACTGTCCCAATACTTAAATTGACGCACAGTCCCATAATTCCTCATATGAATGGTCCCCAACTTATGAATCTATGGACTTGTAATAAGGGGTATAGTAATTTATATAGGCATCAACACTGGTTGTTGATAGAGAAAATAATATGGCTCTCAAATATGTTTTTTTTAAAAAAAGATTTTATTGATTTATTTTTAGAGAAAGAGGAAAGGAGAGAGGAAGAGAGAAAGAAACATTGATGTGTGACAGATACATCGATCGATTGCCTCTCACACGCCCCCAGCTGGGGACCTAGCAGGAAACCCAGGCACATGCCCCTACTGGGAATCGAACCGGCAACCTTTCGGTTCACAGGCTGGCATTCAATCCACTGAGCCACACCAGTCAGGGCTCAAACATGTTTTAAATGTTGTTGATTCTACTATAATTATGGCCATGAAACAAAATTCATTTGAAAGTCAAACTGGTTTCATAGAGTTGTTTCATCATTTTGTAATTATCCTATAAATATGTAAATTTGCCATGATTATCACATAGTGGATTATGAGTTTTATTAATGTATAAAAGATGCTCCTATTCTTGAAAAGAGTCAAAACCTTACTTTACATTTTAACTTTTCATAGATTTAACTCCTAACTTCACAATGTGGATTTAGAATACCTTTTGTTCCCTTCTCAGTATCTAGCATAATGCTATGTCCTTATCACATATGTAGTTAACAAATGGACATGCAAATCGTGTTTAAATGACCTCGGATTTAAATTGCACCATCACATGTCCTCAGCAAGTTCGCAGCATTTGCTTGTTCAGTAGAATAACAGAAAACCATCCGACAGAGAGCTTGACTGAAAATGCGGGGAGGCTGGAAAGCAGCTGTCGGTAACTGCCTCCGGGATGGCAGGGCCACTGACTGCAGCGTGTCGCCTTCTCTCTTTTAGATGGGAATGTGGTGGAGCCTGACATGTCTGCGGGGTTTTGCCCAGATCACAAGGCAGCCATGGTTTTGTTCCTTGACAGGGTCTATGGAATTGAGGTTCAAGATTTTCTCCTCCATCTCCTAGAGGTTGGCTTTCTGCCAGATCTCCGGGCCGCCGCTTCCTTAGACACGGTAATGATGTGAGCTGCTGGCTTCCTTGACTTTTGACTCTTCAGTTTCTGGCTTGTGATACTTTTTTCATAGATGTATTTATTCATTTATTTATTGTCACCAAATGTTTATTGAATACCTATTACATTTTTAGGCAAACAATGGGTAAACAGAAAATAAAATAGACTCTTTCCTCAAGGAATTCGTTGACCAGTGGAGGAGACTACAGCCTGAAGAATGAGATAAGAATTCTGATCAGGTGCAATGGAATACAGGAAGAAATTCACATAAACCTGATTTGGGAGGCCCCAATGGCTCCTGATAACCTCTGGGTTGACCTAAACAACTATTCTTCTCAATAAAGCAGTTAGAGTATTAAGGTTTGACAGACATTGAGTGATGTAATTACAGTAGCATTCTTCTGTATTTCATTACAGTAGCATTCATTAACAAATGAATGTTAAGTACAGATGGATTAAAATCTGTCCTGAGTACCCAGTGGCCCACATCGAGAATCTGCCATTATCAGTGTGAATGTTTTGTTTGAAAGACTATGGAATAAGTTGTAGCTCTAAATATTGTCTAGTAGTCTTAATAGTACCTTATTTTGTTCTCAGCTAAATGAGTCTTTTTGATTGCAGGGGGAAATAGGTTTTTAGTTGGCAATAGCTCTTTTGTTAAAACCATGAGATGAGACTAGTCATAAACATGAAACTTAAATTTTTTCTTTGGGTATGTTCCCATGAAATTCTGGACCTAAATAATAGAGATAATAACAGTAGACAAAGAGCCCTTGATTAATGATGCTGACAGACATGAGCAGAAATATCAATATCAATAGTATTCATAAATAGACTTCAGAGTTTATTAATATGAGGTACATTCTGAGGATAAACTCTTTTCTTCCTCTAGTAGAGTATTCATATCCTTTGATATCATTACTGTCTTTATCTTTCATTTCTCCTACTATTTATATTTTGTTGTAGAATAAGCACCTCTTGGCTCTTGTGCTCTTTGAGGAAATAATCACTTTATTTTTATTACTGATAAGCAGTTGAAAGTTGACTGCTTTTATTGGTAAAAATACGTGAACCACATTTAAAGGTACAACTGAAGAATAGATTTCCATGTTTCATATTTTTGTCATTTTCTAGATGGTGAAATAGAACATGTCAAAGATGTTGCTCCCCAAAGGCAAACGACTTTCTGTTGTTTCTCTCCAACTGCCTCCCAGGCTGCCTTGAGTGCTACGGACATGGCCTTGGCCCTGAACCGCTACCTCTGCACAGCCGTGCTGCCTTTGCTGAGGAGGTGCGCCCCGCTCTTCGCTGGCACCGAGCACCATGCTTCGCTCATCGACTCGCTGCTCCACACTGTGTACAGGCTGTCTAAGGGCTGCTCGCTGACCAGGGCCCAGCGGGACTCCATTGAAGTTTGCTTGCTGTCAATTTGCGGGTGAGTGGGCGCCAACCCTACCCCAAGCCTCCTCCTGTTTAAGGAAGAGGATTTCTTTGTGGCCCTTGACAGATTGTTAGGAATTTTGGAAACAATTTCCATACAAAACTTAATTTCTTTTAGGAAGTCCTCTGTACTGACGTGTGAGTCAGCTCAGGAGTGTCCCCCCAGCCCCCGGATGTGGCGCTGGACCAACTGTGCTCTCCTGGGTGTTGGTGGGTGAGGTGACTGAGAGGCATCCCTGGCCACTTCAGTGTCAGATTAATGGATCCTCCCCTTTTGACTGTATGAGGTTTAAAATCCTCCTCCAGGATAGAAAAAGAAGAGATCCTATTAAATATAAGTAATAATACAGTATAATGTGGAAGCGTTACTTCTGTGTGGCAGTGATGAAGGCCGACTCTTTCCGCCAGCTGGGGAAACCGCTTTCTGTAGGTTGACGTCTTCATGTGTCTTCCTGAGAGAACCAGGAACACATTTCCTCCCTCTGACATGCTGACCGTGAAAGGGACACTCTCTGGGGGCCCTAGTGAGGACGGAGCTCCTTTCTGACTGGACAGGAGCTGTGGGAGGGAAGGCTTGCTGCCCAGGAGTGTATGGTGAAGGGAAGGATTTCCCTCACAGCCAGATGGGGCTGAAGGAGGTGAGAGACTAGGAGATAAGTACTGTCACTCCCTGACCCCAAAATTCTGTAAAATGGAATCAAAATGTTATCTCACAGATATTTTTCTACATACTGAATGGGGTGAAGGCATCAGTGTTGCTGGACACGGGATGTGCCCTGTGTGTTAGTCATCTTCCCCTTCACTCTCTGCTTCCAGTCTTGTCACTGGAGACCCTCCCACCCACAGGAGTGAGGGAAGATGCATTTGCCGAGTTAATGGAGACCGTGAGCTCCGGGTCGTGTGTGTTAAGAAGGGAGTGAGCGGAAGAGACACATCTCCTGTAGCAAATAAAGACAGGTCTTCTGATCCAGGGGTGGAGATGAGGGGCAAATGGAGCCCCTGATAGAATTGTGTGACTGTTGGTTAATCTTTGGATGAACACCTGAAATTAACGTTCTCTGAAGAGAGAGATACGTACAGTTCTTGGCGTATTCAACTTAGTCCAATGAATTGTCCACTTAGTTTAGACATGTTAACTCCATTATTGAAATCAGTTTTGTTCCACCAGCCAACTGAGACCTTCCATGATGCAGCACTTGCTCAGAAGATTAGTGTTTGACGTCCCGTTATTAAATGAACACGCAAAGATGCCTCTTAAGGTAAGGATAGGAGGCGTTTGTAGCTATTTGATTACTGGGTCTTCTGACTTTGTTTCCTGTTACAACATGTACATCTCTCAGATACATCATGTTTGATGTTTGATGTTGGCAAATTTCTTCCAGTTGTTGAAATGGGTGTGTAAGTATAGGTATGTGTGCATCAACCTAAAATAAATAGACAATAATAAACCATAGAAATTCTAAGATTGATTTTCTGTAAGTCAGTCAAAATGGGAATCAGTGGGAACAAATGGGCCACAAGAAAAAGAAAAGCCAAGAAATTCTCAGGCTGGAAAACATGGTGACAGGCCTGGCCTCGACAATTAGCAACCTCAAGGGATGAGGAGCAGGCTCTAAAAACAGCGTTTCCTAAGTTAGCGATCTAACAACAGTTTCCAAATATGATCTGATAAAGCTCAAAGGTAGCCTTTCTGTACATGCAGTTCCAGTTGCCTCGAGGGGTAGGGGGGAATTCGCTGACATTCTCTCTGCTTTGTCACTCTGCTCCTGAGTGACCATGTGTCATGCTGTCCTACTGCCCCGGGGGTACCTCCTGTTGTCCAACAGCCGAGTCCAGACTCAGGATTCAGACACCAGATGCAGACTGATGGCGTGGTCTATGAGTGGAGGCCATGGCTGTGTGCGGTCACTTCACAGGTGACCACACAGCACAGCACAGCACTGCTGTCTAGTGAACTTCATCTTCCTCTGGACACCCAGTAACGTGCTGCAAAAATGAGCTTTGAGATACAAATGTGCCCAGTTTTTGAGCTGCTGTTATGCTGAGCATGCTTAGATATTTAGCAAAAACAACCCCTATGAAAATTGATTTTGGTTTAATAAATTTAGATAGATGGACAAATTATGTAAAGTAAATTATATCCTTGCTGAAATCCCATTTTAATCTTGTTTTTTTTAATCTAGGGTTGCTCTTGTCCTGCAAAATTTTCTTGATATCAATGAGCTAGAAGATCCCTGAAAAAAAGATACGGTATCACTTTATGTGATAAAACTCTTTCACATTATACCTCTTTACAATCTAAGGAAATTAGATCTCAGTGTTTTATCATTTGAGAGTTCTAAATTTGTGTGTTTTGTAACTGAGAAACCAAACTAAAAGAAATATTTCTTTTCCAAGAGATGTAGTTATCTTTTTAACAAGTAATCCTTACTAATTTATTTCCCTCCTTAGATATAGAAAGGAGAATCCAAAAACCTGTAGTTGATTCATAAACATTATTTTATTAACTTGGCAACTAGTTGTGAATATTTGTTAGTTTACAGATCAAGAATAAATTATCCCAAGAGCTACCAAATAATTGAAAGATTCAGTATCTTGTCTTTGAATTTCCAGTTTAGTTTTAAACAAAAAAATTATAGGAAAACAGACACTCAGTAGGATTACAAATTGCATCTGTAACCACCAAAGAAATATATTTAGATGAAGAAACTATTGAACTGGGCAGCTTTGGGAGTTTACTGAGATGTCAAATCATAAAGTGTGTGATTAGGGTCGGCAGAGAGGAAGCTCAAATGTCCAGGGGTATAGTTCCTTTAGAGGGTACATTTTAGGTCCCATGTCCTGGGGACGCTTGTGCTTCAGGTCACCCTGGCATTAAGCCCTTCATCATGTGCATGGAGTTCAGGGGGTAACAGTTCATAAAACTGGGTGAGAGCCACTAAAGTAAAACACAGAGACACGCTGAAAACCAAACAGACTCGTGAAGATTGTGCAAGGTAAGTTATTTGTAAAATGGGGCATCCGATTTTCAGACTGTGATCAGTGTTAAGTTTCAAAGAGATGTGAAACGTGTGGTAGGAGCTTTCTCCCAAAGAATCCATGTGCATCGAGCAGTTCCGTTTCAGTTCACCTTATTAAATAGTAGTAGAATGCCACATGGGAAGAAATGGAAAAGTAAAAGGTGCTTTAGCTTATTGCTTTTGTAATTGTTTTCCCACATAGCTGCTGACAAATCACTATGAAAGGTGCTGGAAATACTACTGTCTGCCTGGAGGGTGGGGAAACTTTGGAGCTGCCTCAGAAGAAGAACTTCATTTATCAAGAAAATTGTTCTGGGGAATTTTTGATGCTTTGTCTCAAAAGGTAATTTAATATTTTGTGGGTTTATTTGTATGATAAAAAATAATTAAAGGCGTAAGTTCTTGATAAGACTTATTAAAACTCATAATTTTATTTTCTAATAATTTTTCTTTTCTGCATTTATAGCAAATGTTGACAATGCAGTTCATATTGACTTTTTTCATAATGGCTGTGGTAACATGTTTCTGGTGATCATAACACTTTCTGAATTTAAGGCGACTAAGCATTTTAGAAAATTACGCACATAGGTCGATAAGTTTCTGATGTATTTGGACTTATTTTGTTTCTAAACTCCCCCTAGTCACCTCCCCAGTCTTACAAAACCTGAACAAACCATATCAAGTATGAAAATATAACATGCTAAGTCTCCCACGGGTACTGTCCGGGGGCTCACTGACTTGCCCGCTTCGCTGCTGGGGAGATGTGAGCCCCTCCACCCAGCGCCGCTTCCCGTGTTCCCAGGGCCTGTATTTACAAGCAAGAGTCCACGCCCTTTCAGTGACTGCGTGGTTGCACGTCGGACAAGATGAGGACATCATGCTGCGTGCGATTGTGCTTAGATTGTTAATCACGGTCCTTTGGACTTCCCGCATAGACGTTACTGGATGACCGGGGCTGGGTAACCGGAGTTCGCTTCCGACTAGGGGATAGTTCATCTGTGCCTTCATTTAATAGTGACTTCATGATACTTTTTCTTGCTGAATTGTCTTTGGTAGACAGAGTAATTTTAAAAATCATATGTAGAAGATATTTTTAAAAGAATTTACAACATTAATTTAAAATTGAATGGTTAATTGAATTTTAGATGATTATTTTTGATTAAAAAAATCTCTAAATACAAATTTAAGGAATGATGTGATTAATATACGAATGCCTCTTCCCAGAAATTTTGATTATGCACATTTTCTGTAACACTGCCTTCCCAGCTCAGAATTTCATTGTTATGCTTTGTAACACAGGACAGTTCAGCTTCTCACTCCCGGAATGTTTCCCTACAGGTGTTTTCACGATGGTATTCACAACGTGATGCAACAATAAGTAACCCATAACTAGGAAGTACAGTCCCCGTTGGCGGACATTATGGTCATGTTGTACCACCATGTTACACACTTTGTAACACACTTAGAATATCCCAGGCTACATCATCTCAAATATTGAAAAATAAGTTTTGAGAGAAGCACAGATTTGTTCCTTCTTGGTCTGCAGCTACAGCATGAAACTGTCAGCTTCTTCTGTGTCTGTGGGGTTTCAAGCTGAATGTTCCATTTTCCGGAGGCAGGATCTGCCACGAGTTCAGCTACTGGGTGGGGAGGGTGCGGTGGGCAGAGGGATTCAGACTTTTCCCTGCGATATTTTATCCACCACAGAGATCATGTCGACAGCTTTGACTAAATAGTGACATACCTTTGTCTTTTGGTCCTCCACTTCTTCCCAGAAATATGAGCAAGAACTTTTCAAACTGGCCCTGCCTTGCCTGAGTGCTGTGGCCGGGGCTTTGCCTCCAGACTACATGGAGTCAAACTACGTCAGCATGATGGAAAAGCAGTCCTCCATGGACGCCGAAGGCAACTTTAACCCGCAGCCTGTTGAAACCTCAAAGTATGGACTCTTTCTATTGCAGCAGCTTTTTATTGTAAATGATGTGTGAAGTCTGAAATTGACTAAGGTACTAAAGTGAACTTTCTCTCACCCGTGCCCCCTTTGAATTGGTATCTTTCACTGGGGATCCCTTTCCTTGATGAAATGGTAGTGACAATGACGAACATCCTGATTATCAGAAATGGAAGAGATGTGCCTTTTGGACATGCTTAGTAGAATCAGGGTTCTCTGTTTAACACCACAGGGGAAAGCCCTAGTAATGAGAATCAAGAAAGAACATGACATCAGTCATATTGTTAGTTGAAAATTGACCTGAAATGTCCATTGCAATTTCAGCCTGCTTCTGCGTAGCACCTTGGACGCGGGGGCCCCGGGCAGGAGCGCAGCGCAGCGCATCCCCTGTGAGCTGTCGCTTTGCATCCCTTCACGCAGCGAGGCCTAGGGCTGCCCCTGATGGTCGGCGTGCAAGGCCCGGCTTGAGGTCACGGGAGTATCAAATGAGAACACCCGTGGGAAAGTTAGTGTGCAGTTGGAATGCAGTGTGACAACCCTCACTGCCGAGGAAAGGTCACTTAACGTGGGGAACCGTCGTCTGCATGCTCAGTTGCGTACATTGTTCAGCAGATAGGATGCCTGGGTTCCTCAGGTGTGTGGGGTCGCAGCACTTTTGTGGCTGTTACTGTCTTTAAGTGGGACCATGGTTTCCTGTTTGCAAGGAAAGCTGCCTCTTCAGGCCACGTTAACCTTATCGATGCTGTGGTCACTCGGTGAGATTAGTACCAACAGGGTCCTCCCTTCATAGTCACCCTTTGAACTTGCTTTGGGGTTTAAAGGTCAGGTGTCAGGGCCGCCCACCAGCTGATTTAGCCCCCACACCCAGGTCACTTCCAACCCAGTGGTGTTCCATCAGCTTGATGATGCCTTAAATTTGCGTGTTTGGTGTTTGAGGACAGTCCCATGAGGAAAGGCTCCACCCCAGTGCTGGGCTTAGGTGCTTATTCCTTTGTAGTTCTTCCCAAGTAAGGAAACCAAAACCACATGTTCACATTCCTACATGGGTAAGTTTGTGGTTCACTAACATACAATATAATCCAGGATTTTAAAATAACATCAGGACAATATCACAGTTTTGATTAATTAAATCTAATTAGGTGTTGAGCATGTGTATTAATTTACTTAGGCTTCTCCTTTGGGGACTCTTAATAGACTAGCTTTTAACAGTAAACTCAATACTTCCTATGTTTCTGTGATTTTTCTATATTGTTTCTTAGGTATATATATATATCCTCTAGTTCAGTTACTGACTGATAACATTTGTGGAAAAGAACAGTGAACCATCTCATTACTAGATTTTAGTTCGAATTCTATTCTCAAATTAATTGCATTAATAGATCATATTTGGTAAAGAATGAAATTCTATATATTGTTCACTCATAGATATATTTGATATTTGCAAGTCTTACAATTACCATCAGAATTGGTCATCAATTGTATACACTCAGCATCTATTCAGGAGATTAAATACTTATTTAAACATAAAAGGAATCAAGAATAAATGTTATAAAATTATGAAGCATGAGTTAGTTACCTTTGCCTATAGTCTATATTAGTAACAATTAGAACAGCATGTATAGACCATTAATAATTAAAACCATTAACACATTACCAGTTGTATAAAATTAAGTTAAAATTTTAGTACACTTAAATAATGTAACAGGTCAGATTTCAGCATGTAGAGTTGTTGCAGAAGAGACTTAAGTCAAAAAAGAAAAATGACTTCAAAAAATGAGTGTGGGGGAGAAGCAGATCTTTAACCATGTCTTGATTGTCCTCATCTTCCAATACATTTTAATTATTTTTATTTATACCATGTATAATTTTATTTTATATAACTCATGATAAGACATTATAAAGTACAAATTAGCATATAATAAGCAGATAGAACCTCACCTGCTTGACTTTTCTTATATTGTTCCTATCATATGGGAAAGTAATACTTTGTTAAAACAGTTTTTTAACAGCTATGCATTGAATGAGATTTAAGAAATCAGAAGCTGTAAGTAAATTATTAATGTGCGTGTTTCTGTAGTCCTGTGAAAACCAAGCCTTTTCTCTCTCTTTCTCTCACAGTATCACAATTCCTGAGAAGCTGGAATACTTCATTAACAAATATGCTGAACACTCCCATGACAGATGGTCCATGGACAAGGTAACGCCAGGGCCACCTGAGTCGGCCCCAAGGGAGGCTGGTGCCCACTGCCTGGCAGTTCTGACCAGGGCAGTTTTCTCTGTTGAAGTGAGAGCTTTATTTAGATGAGGGAAGAACATCTAATTATGACTTGCTAATGTGACATTTAGCTAGCTCTGCCACTGGTACACATATGATACACACACGAACACAAATATTCATAAAAAGTGCAGTTTTAAATTTTAAAAAATTTGTTGTCATAGATAGAATTTCTAAACACACATTGTTTGTGGGAATAAAAAATAATAATCATCGGGGGCTTCAGGAAAAAAGTAGTGAATCTGGGTCCAGAAATCTTTTAAAGAACCTTTAACTTTATGTGTAATTTTATATTAGATAAAATTTTGAAATTTACTAATAGGACTTTAGTGATCGTTCACGCCCTTAACTCTTTTGTTGCATTTCTTATTACCAAATAGATATGCTGGTCACTGAGACTAGATTACATGGCAGGATGACATGCTTGCTTTGTGTTGTCAAAAAACCCCAAAAGCCAGCCTGGATGAGAGGACCCAGCAGGTGCGACCTGGGACATGATGAGACTTTTCTGAAGGAAACGCTGTGCCGAATAGTCACACTCAAGTTGAGCCTCGTTGCACCTGAGAGGCGCTGGCTGGGATGGGAAGCTGAGCCGAGGGGGCGCAGAGGCTAAAATGAGCGTGTAGTGGTGGGGAGAGGTGACAGTCCAGTGGCGGACGTGCCAGAGGACGTTTGTTACCCAGCGGCTCGGCGGCGCCCGCTGTCCTCAGATCCCGCCCTGGCCCCCGCCGCCCTGTCCTCCGCCCCTAACAGCCCCCTTTCTGTTTTATAAACCCGTGGCTCTTCACGGAGTAATTTAATGACTTACTAGGGAAGGCGGTAAGAGTTAAGTGTCTGTTTTACACACTCTTCTAGCTAGTGAGTTAGTCGAGGGGGAGTGGCGACCAGGGTGACAGAGGCCCTACCGGGTTGTGCCCGCCAGTCACCCGGGTGCCACAGGCAGAGGCGAAATTGGACAAAGTCGTGGGGAGCAAATGTGTCAAGCGGTGTGGATATAGCAGTGGGCAAAACAGGTAGCGTTATTCAGGACGCTTCAAATGAAACACCGCTCCTGTGGCCCTCTCTCCCACACATGCCGGAGCTGGGGTCCCGCCCAGGAGGAGTCAGGGGAGGGTCAGGGGGGCCATGCAACCTGGGCCGCCCCTCCCTGACTCAGCCTCAGATCCGTCGGTTTAAGGACAACTGGGTGCTTCTACTCTCTGGATAAAAAGACTTGTTCCAGGTGATGATTACTCAAACTAGTGTTGGCTAGGAGATTTGTTTATTAACTTACCCTGGATAAAAGTCAAACCTTAATCTTTATCTTGGTTCATTTTAGATTTATTTTATCAAGCACACTCTTAAAATACTATATGTTATACTTTTAAAAGCAAAAAGTTGGTTATATTTTAGCTTAACATTTAGCCCATAAACACATGCACACCAACACTCTCTGACATTAACACATACAAAACAACTTTCATGTTTGTTTTTTTTTTTAGTTGGCCAATGGATGGATTTATGGGGAAACATATTCAGACTCATCTAAAGTTCAACCATTAATGAAGCCATATAAACTATTATCTGAAAAGGTGAGAGTTTTAAGTTTATATAGTTATAACTTTTTCACTTTTTTCTTTGTTATGTAATTTCTTATTAAAATCTCTTTTTTACTTTATGTATGCTATTTTTAACCTTTATTCAAAGGTTCCTTTTTGTCTATATTCCAATTTTCTATTTGTATTTAATTGGTTTTTTTCTCCTCTACTTAATATTTTTGGTTCTTTTTAAATTTTGATTTCTCTCCTGTATTTTTAAGGACTGTAGAAAATATTCTTATTATTTTTAAGAGTTCCTTTATGAGGGACAGTGAAGTAATATTTTAATATTACTATTTATAAGTTTTCCTATACCTTCGTTTTGAGAGAAGTCAGTGTCTTGAGAAATGGAATGAAAGGATTTTGAGCTTGGTGCTGGAAGCTTGGTGCTGGAGGAGGGGAGTTGCGTCTCTCTTTATTCCGATGGTACAAGAGCCTTCGCTCACCTGCTGTGATTTCGCACTTTTCCCCAAGCGTGTCCCTCCTTCCGGTTTCCGCCTACAGTGCCAGGAGCTGGGCGACGAAAGGACATTCGCCTCCAGGCCATAATAAGCAGGGATCCCTGTGAGCCGTGTCTGTCAAATGGGGCTCGGCTCACGCTCTGCTTTTCAGAATTTTTACTTCCCTCTTTTATGAATGAACCTGTAAGTGAATTTTTTAAAAAAATGAAGGTAGTCTATTTCACAGCGAAGCATTAAATACAGGGTCTGGCACCAGTAATGCGTCTTTTTATTACAAAATCTTCTATTACAAAATCATAAGTATGTCATTCTGCAGCATAACGATATCACAGTCAAGCACACCATAGGACATTTTCAGCAAAATGTTCAAGTGAAAGCTATAAATGATTGTACCCATATCATTACCTTACCAACCACATGCAAGCAGGTGTTACTTCTGCCAGACCCTGTATTATTTATTTTCATTTGGATTCCTAGTATTTTCCACCCCTGTTGTCTTCTCCTCCTTTGGGTCTCCAGGAAAAAGAAATCTACCGCTGGCCAATCAAAGAGTCCTTGAAGACGATGCTGGCCTGGGGCTGGCGGATCGAGCGGACGCGGGAGGGCGACAGCATGGCGCTGCACAGTCGCACGCGGCGCGTCTCCCAGACCAGCCAGGTGAGGCCCGGCGGCGGGGACGCCGCTGCACGCGTTGCTGTGAGGTCATTTTGACCTTTTATTGAATTACTGGGTTTTTTAAAACAATTTGAAAAATCTGAAGAGTAATATGAAGTTTAGAGGGGGAAAGCCATGTTTGTTTCTTCTGTAAAAGCCCCAGTGAGCCTCGGTGGAGGCACTGGGTGACCATCAGGCTGTGCGGTTCCCGTGCGGCCAGGCCGTGAAGAGGGGCCCGGGCCGAGTCTGGACGGCCCCCAATGAAGGCTGTGGGGCGTGTCCACGGCCTCCCCGCCAGCTATCTTAGGGTTTCCTCATCCTTTGCAGGGAGAGCTGAAGGTTGGCTCTCAGGGAGCAGCGAGAGCTCAGGCAGTAGAGTCGAGATGCACGGGCGACCTTTCCACGGCGGGGAAGGCAGGGAGGGAGAGCCTTCCTCCATCAAACCTCTGGAGGGGAGCACAGCCTGCCGACGCCTTGATTTTAGCCTGTGGAGGCCTGTGCCAAACGTCTAACAACCGTGTGATGCTTTAATCCACTAAATTTGCTGTGACCTCTTACAGTGACAATAGAAAATTAATACAGCTATAGAATGGACACCCAATGGAGATGGCAGTGAAGAGCTGAAGATGTGAGTCGAGTGCAGAAGGGCAGTGTTAGGCTAGGTCAGCTGGTTTCTGGTTTATTAAGAAATGGTTGATAAGTTAGATATTTAAAGTAGATATGGATGTGGACACCTAAGAAAAGTACTATATGTTACACTTTCAAAAGGAAAACGTTGGTTATATTTTAGCTTAACATTTAGCCCATAAAGACACTTGTAAATATTGACCTCTTTGACTAATTACTGTTAATGTGAGGAAGAGTAAGCTCATTGCAGCCAATTAGAATTTTTAAGAAACTCAAGAATACAATGAATTATTGATTAAGGAAGTGTTGTAGAATCTTAGAATCATTGCACAATTTGTTGAATTCTGGTTATTAGCCTTTGGGGTTGGCAGCCCCTGAGATGTTGGGAATCATTACTTGCAAGTATTTACTAGCAGTTGTAAATACTTGTCAGACACTCAATATAATTTAATCTGCCACATAGGCTGTGAAATCAGTTGGCGCAGTTGCTCGCCAGCTCTGCCTGAGGAGGTGTGTGGCTGGAGGTGCGTTTGCCTTGCATCCCTGCAATGTCTCTAAGATCTCTTCCCACAGGAGTTTAACGAGGTGCCGCTCCCCCGATTGTCTAGGTTTCCATAGACGCTGCCCACGGGTACAGCCCCCGGGCCATCGACATGAGCAACGTCACGCTGTCCCGAGACCTGCATGTAAGTGCTGGCAGCTCTTTAAAACATCCCGCAAGTTCCTTTTTTTAAAAGCGCACTGTGGCACTCCCTGCACACATTTTGCAGCATGAATTGTTTGAGTGTGGTCGTCATTCGCTGGGTGCGTGGAATTTATAGATTACGTATCCCAGCTTTTTCATGCTGTAAAAATTGACACAACTTTTTCTACGATGTTTCTTCCAGCTAACGTATTTTCTTTGAAGATACTATCCATGAAATTAAAGCTCTTTAATATTTTCATATCATTAAATGAGAAGAAGATAAATTGGTCACTAATGATGCACCACTCAGGGAAAATCTTGGTGCTCATTAAAGAATATGAGTTCCTAGTTGTTTATCCATGGAAACTGATGGCATTGTGCTTGCTTCATGCGTGCTTTTTTTAAAATTATTATTTTAAATTTTATTTTTAAATTATAATTTACATTCAGTATTATTTTGCATTAATTTCAGGTATACAGCATAGTGGTTAGACAATTATATACTTTACAAAATGATTGCCCCAAATTTCTAGTACCTACCTATTACCATACATAGTTATTACTATATTACTGATTAGACTTATGAAAAGATGCTCAGTGTCACTAATCATCAGAGAGATGCAAATGAAAATCACAGTGAGATATCACCTCACACCTGTCAGAATGGCCATCATCAATAAATCCCCAAACAACAAGTGCTGGTGAGGAGGTGGGGGAAAGGGAACCCTGTCGCACTATCGGTGGGAATGCAGACTGTGCAGCCACTGTGGAAAACAGTGGGGAGTTTCCTCAAAAAATTAACAGTTGCTCTGTCCATGGTTTTCTCTCTCCCATGTCACTGAGGAATGGCTGTGAAATGGCTGATTCGAGTGAAAGAAAAAATTTTTTGCCATGGAACATAAGTTAGTAGGCCAATACAACGATCAAATAACTGTATTAGAATTGTTAGTATTATCATGAGAAATAAGTACTACCAAGAAAAATATCTATACATTGTTAAGTTGCTCCCCTATGAATGTATTAAAATGACCAAGTAAACTTTAAAATCAAAGGTGGAAAAGATCTTAGAAGTCACCTTCTCAAAACTCAAAGGTCCACAGAAAGGTTCATGTGGCTCGTCCACCGTCTCACCTACTTTGGGACAGATGGCCGTCTAGACAAGCAATCTTTAACTGGTCTGCCGCAAGAATGTTTAAAACGTGCAGTACATGACTTTGAAGTCAGGGGCACTGACCTCTTTTCCTTAGATTGTCAAATAAAAAAATGACAATAACCAACAAAACAATTGTGAATTAATCAAAATTATACCTATTTTTTTTTTGTGTTCAGATAGGCAAAAAATGTATTTTTTCGTGTGCCACAGAGTTTTAGTGATTAGTTTATGTGTGCATGAGATGACAAAGGGTTAACATCACGGATCTAGATTCATCTGATGTTTTTTGCCGTCAGTGTTAATAAGGTTTAGGTGACCTTTTAAAGCTTTGGGAATTAAAATAATAACTTGTAAATATTTTTTTTGGTTGAAGTCTGTAGCTCATTTGGTTTCATTATTAAATTAATAAAACATGTGCCGTTAAACATAAATAATGACAACCGTCCCCATCAAGTCACCTGCGCTGCCTCCTGCGTCACTTCACGAGTGCTGCAGTTTCTGGGGCGCAGATGCCGAGTGCACCCATTGCGTTTGATTATGTTCTGGCTGTATTTTAGCACTGACAGTCCATGATGTATTAACATAAAGCGTGTTTTTATATTACATATTGGAAAACAAAGGTCCCCTTTTCTACTTATTAAGGCGTAACTTAGTTGCTAAATAATTTGTTCATTTAAGGCTATGGCAGAAATGATGGCTGAAAACTACCATAATATATGGGCAAAGAAAAAGAAAATGGAACTGGAGTCCAAAGGTACTATTTTCTAAAACTATGTGAGACTCGATTTTGTATTCTCTGCATGGGGTGGGAACGAAGCACGTCCGTGGAAGCCTGCCACGATTGTAGGGGCCAGCAGGGCGTGGCTTAGTGGCTTTTTGCCAGCACCACACTCAGCTGCCGTTTGCGTGGGCCAGCCCGGCCTCGCCTCCCTGTGTGTCTGTGGATGCATCAGGCACTGGCTCTCACGGGTGCCTGCGTGCTCAGGGCCTGACAGCCCCCTCGAAGGCATGTGCACAGCCCTCCTGGGGCGTAGTGGCATGGAGTGGGAAGAGGCCTGAGCAATAAGCAGCTCCCCAAGCTGTGTGGCCTCGTCCTGTTATGCTATCGTGAGATCTCGTCTGGACATCCTCTTAGGAGGGGGCAACCACCCCCTGCTGGTGCCTTACGACACGCTGACGGCCAAGGAGAAAGCTAAGGACAGGGAGAAGGCTCAGGACATCCTCAAGTTTCTGCAGATCAACGGCTACGCCGTGTCCAGGTAGGAGCGCCCCTGCTGCAGTGGCGCGTTCTTCCCCCAGACTCAGTATTTAAACACCCCCTAGGTTCCGGAAGGCCGAAAACATGGCAACCTGAGGCAGGTGGCCGTCTAAAGTGGTGTCCAAACTTTTGGCGTCTCTGGGCCACACAGGTAGAAGAGTTGTCTTGGGCCATCTATTAAATACATTTGACATGTAATCACACACAAAAAAATCTCGTGAAGTTTTAAGTAAATTTACGATTTTGTGTCGGGCTGTGTTCATAGCCATCCTGAGCCGCATGTAGCCCGTGGGCCATGGGTGGGGCACCCCGGGGAGGGCGGCTGTTTGCTGCGCGCAGTCACACGCGTCAGAAGCACAGCACCCTCAGCTGTTTGCCAAGATCCTGAAAGCAGGTTGGAGTACTGCCTGTGTTAAATCCCTACCCACCATCCAGGCAAAATCCAGGCAACAGCAGCACTCTAGTTTTGAAAAGGCAGCATTTTACGGCATAGTAATAGAATTATTAGGTACAGTTTTATAGCAAAGTATTCAATGTTCCTTCTAAGGTAAATCTCATTTTTGCCTTTAGGTACAGAACACAAGATAATCTCCTAACTTTGTGTATGTAACACATATAAAATTTTGCTGGCTATATGTACACACACACACACACACACACACACACACACACACCCCTCCTAACAGCCCTCGTAGGCAGTCCTTGCCACAGCGCGTTCACTCTTCCAGGGGCTTCAAGGACCTGGACTTGGACACGCCGTCCATCGAGAAGCGCTTCGCCTACAGCTTCCTGCAGCAGCTCATCCGCTACGTGGACGAGGCCCATCAGTACATCCTGGAGTTTGGTGGGTGCCTTAGGCCACCTCAGCCCGGCCACTATTAGTGTTCCCATGTCAGGTGCAAGGCAGCGCGGCCCCGCTGCGGCCTGTGCGCAGGTGGCGTGAATGCTTTCCACCCAGCCTGGTGCCGACCCCGGCCCAGCATTCAGTGGGCAGACGTGTTGGAGGGATGGCTGTATTTGAGAGCCTAAAAAATCTGACATAATTCTATTGTAAACTTGGTTGGCATTGATTTTTCACTTTGAAAGATATGCTGGACAGACATCATAGCTTAAGGTACAGTTACACCTTTCCTTATGAAATCAAGTGTCCTGCCCTTAAAGCAAACCAAAAACTCAGTGGATTCCTGCGATTCCTAGACAGCGCCAGGGCCTTGCGAGGTGCAGCCGGGGTGGGCACGCGTGTCTGCAGCAGAGGCCCTGCAGCGCAGGCCAGTGTGTTACCCTCCCGGATGAACGAAGCACTTCTGTCCATCTGGCCTCGCGACACCTGCGTTCAGAAGAAATCCTCATTTTAAATCTTAGATTCAGAACATTTCACCAGCAGCTGCCACTCACTCCTCTCGTTCCCTGACTCCCGTCAGCACGCAGTGGGGTTACGGCCCTAGTCCTTGGTCCTCTCCCACCAGGCCACCTGCGGCTGCGGCTGTGAAGGGACTCGGTCCTTCTGGAAAATGGGTGCTCTTCTACCAGTGATTTTTAAGTTTTCTTTTCCACTCCTGAGGTTTTGTTTCTGTTTTTTCACCCTCATTCTTCCTGTTTTCAACACGTTTCCTCAGCACCCACAGCCCTAGATCCCCAGCAACAAGCACGCCGTCAGCCCCTCCTCACCGGGACACTGGCCCTGTGTCCGGAGCAGCCATGGTTTGGGGCTCAGCGTCAGATTAGCGATCGTACAGACGTGTGCTCTGCTGTTTTCTTGTTTCCGGCCTCCCGTATTCTAAGTGTGACTACAGGTTTTCCAGTTGATCATTAGTCTCTTTTTTAAATTATTTTTTAAAAATATTAAAATATTTGATGCAGCTGGCATACCACATTCTGTCCCAGGAGGACACCACAGTGGTTAGACACTTGGGTAACTTGTGAAGTGATCCCCTGAGAAGTCCAGGGCCCGCCTGGCACCCGGTGCAGCGTGGTCACTGCGGTGCACCACCGACTGCAGTCCCTGGGCCGAGCTCTGCATCCCTGCGGCGATTCCTAAGACGGATAATTTATGCTTATTAATCTCTTCACCTTTTTTGATTATTCTATTCAAGAACCTCCCTGTCTTTCAACCTATCTATAGTCCAAAGGTTGTATTTTTCTTATTAACCATTTTTCAAACAAGTTATTTATTGAAGCTGAATTATAGTATGTAATCTCTTTGTAATTTAAACAATGATTTTTTTTTAAAAAAAAATATGAGTCATTCTGACTAGTAGCCAAACCAGTCTGAGTTAATGAAATTTAACCAAAGAACACAAAGGAGGCTGTGGTGAATGTTTGAAGCTGCTTTGCACAAAGTTAAGTATTAAAATGCCTCCTCCACATTTAAAAGTATCTGATGTCATAGCCGCCCTGAGAGCCAGTCTTTGTCAAGTGAGGGAGCAGGGGCAGGGCAGTGAGCCTTTGGAGAGTTGGTGGTGGTTCTTTACCTCTCCCTGCATGGAGAGCAGATACGGAAGGCTGAAGGGGGACTGTGTTTTGTCTTACTGTCGTTGTACACAAGCGTCTGAGTAAGCGACCAGGACGGCGTTTGGGTGGGGTGGAGAGTGGTGAGCAGCACGTGACACAGCAGGTTCGCCCGCTCTGCACACTGCTTTCCCTCCACGGGGAGAAGGTGAGGCTAGACTCATGAAGAAAACAAAACAAGCTTTGCCCAGCGCTGACGTTCCATGGACCTTTTCCGGAGGCCGTGCCGGGGAAACCGTGCCGCGCGGCGCCGAGAGAGAACTGTCTGAGGAGCGGTGGGGCCCGGGCGGCCGCACCTTCCCTGGTTTCCGTTTTCCCTTGTTACTGCAGGTAGAACTTGCGCAGCGCCTTCCCTCTCTGTCACTGTGTGGTCCCCGCCGCGCCACGCAGCTGTGGTGTACTCGTCCTTACACACAGGCTGGTGGCGACAGGAGCAATGTGCGCATGCGGCCTCCTGATTTTTGTATTTTATCAGAGATCACGTTCTCTCCAGATCTTTTTCACATTTGCACATGTGCATTTTTGCTAAAATGTATAATGAAAGAAAGATATTTCCTATTTAATTCATTGAAATAGTAGCATATTTAACTAGGTACAAAATTCTGTCTTGACAGATGTTGTATGAGAGAGTCCCTTATATGGATCCAGCCATTTTGTGTGACATGCTTGAGAGATATTTAGTGCAAAAGTGACAACAAAAATGGAATTAGCAAGCCTTAAAAGCCATTGTTTTTTAAAAAACGTATTCATGGGAAGAACATTGTTGTGATGTTACAAATATTATCAAAATTCCCTAAAAATTATCCTGAATGTACATCTAAGATTTAATAATGTGCATCTCTAATTGTTTGATTTCTATTTGTAAAAGAACTTTTTTCAGAAAGTCGGGTTGATTCTTGAAACTACGGAGCCTTGCTCACAGATTTCACTGGAGCCTTGACTCGGGCTGCGTAGCTCCCAGTGCGCGCTGCCCGTCCTCGGGGTTGTCACGGCCTAGCGTTACCTCTCGTGTGTGTGCGTGCAAGGCCTCCCCTGCGCGCACGAAGGAGGGGGAAGGCCGCCTTCTAAGCCAGATGCCGCGCCGAGGCCAACTGCTCTGAATCTCGCAGTTGTTTCCGAACCCTGCGGAGAACTTGGGCGTTTTGCTTTGCTGAAGAAAGCAGCTCAGCTCCCACTGGCTGCCGTCAGCCCCGCTGCGGGCTGTCCTGCTGAGTCGGGCATTTTCCCTGAATTCGGTTCCCGCCCCCTTCATCCCCCGCCCCCACAGCCGTGTGCCAGTGAGACCTGGAGCTGAGCCAGGGAGTGAGTGTGAGTGCTCATAACCTCGCACCTGGGCTCCGTGCAGCAGCTCCTTAACTCGAATTTGGCTATTGGTGAAATCCTTTTTCATTTATTTCACTGCCCAAGTTAGCCTCTGTGTTTTTGGTTGGCTGTTCACGTTCAGCTTGGTGGGGTGGCACACTGAGCCGTGTGTTCTTAACTTCCCATGCGAGGTGAGTATCTGCTAATTCTGAAGTGCAATGTGTTCCTGAAAACTCTCTCCTGTCTGCAGATGGCGGCAGCAGAAGCAAAGGACAGCATTTCCCTTATGAACAAGAAATCAAGTTCTTCGCTAAAGTACAGTATACAGCCCTTCTTGTTTTTGCTCCAGCGTTTGCTTGCAGAACACCCCACAGCTCTCTGCCTGCTGTCGGAACGCGCTTGTCTGTCTGTGTGGCTTCTCCCGCGCTGGCCTTGGGGGCACCGGCTGCTGCATGACCCCTGTGGGTGGTTTGCCCCCGCAGCTCGCCCTGCCCTCCCTGCCTCGGCCTGCAGGTGACGTGGCTCTGCAGGAGGCCCGGCTCAGTGTCCCCTTTTCCTGACTGTATCATGTAACGGAAGGAAAATAGCTATTTCTTAATAGCTGAATGTTGTTGTGACTAAGATTTTTAGATGAGCATCTCTTTCGTGAAGAGGAAAAACACTAGCTAATTGCTGAATGGGTGCACGATATAAGGGCCTTTGCAGAAGCGCCTTTGCCATGGGGCCTGGTCCCCCTCGCCCTGTGGCAGGCACGCTGAGGTGCGGAGGCAGCCAGGTGCTGGGACGTGGAGTGCGTCCCTCACCGGCATCCGTCCCGTTGAGTGCAGTTCAACAGGAGTTTGCCACCTGCCCGGAGCACGGGTGGCTCTCTCAGCTGGCTGGGGCGGGTGCCAGGTTGGTTGCAAACTTGCCTTTTGGTTTGTTGACCTAGAGTTCATACCATGCCTGGGCTGCAAGGCGTCAGATGGTGTCCTGGGGTGTCCCTGTCCCCACCACAGAGGGCCTTAGATGCTTTCCTTTGGACAGTGTGTTGTTGCATTAACCTAAAGACCTCATGATTTCTGCCAATTTACTTTCAAAGTACTTTGCAAAGTACTTATTAGAAATCATTTGAAAAATGGTTTATTATTTTGATTGACTTATATTTGGCTTCTGGTCTATGTTGTTAGAATTGTGGCCCTTACTGTGAGGGAGATTTCTCTGGTCTTTTCTTGCACTCAGTGTAGCACTCAAAGTCCGTGGGAAGCATCTTAACTTTATTCTGAGCCGTGCATGCCCAGTCACTGTTTCCATGGGGACTGGATACCCAGGTGCCAGGAATGCTGAACTCATGGCCTCTAATCACATCTAAAAATACATCCTGGTATCACATTGCCCACGTGCGCAGCACCCTAGTGATTTTGTTTGCAGACGCCTAATGTGGCTTCATTTCCACTAAGTCTGTGATTCATTCATTCACATAGTTACTGAGTGCCCATGATGTGCCAGTCACTACGTTCAGACAATGTCATGACTTCGTAGGAAGATCCCAAAACTTACACATTCCTTTAATAGATAAATATGCTGTACTACATTGTGGGGAAAAATGCAGTTGGATAGACTTGAGTCTAGATACTGGTAACACCAATTATTCCTACTTTTTTTGTTTGCTCGTTCAACCACTGTTTGTCTACTGGTTGCTGTGTGCCCAGCAAGGCCCACGGCACTGGTGACCGGCAGTGGGTGCCCCAGAGGCCAGAGAGGGCTGCCGTGGGAGAAGGACGAGGAGACGGTTCTGGTTCTCTCGTACCTTGTGGACTCTTAGGGAGAGAACTAATCCCAAGTCGCTCAGGGAAAGTGTAAAGCAGCAGATGGTGTTACGAGAGAGAGGGTAGGGAGGCTGTCAGTGGAGGAGTGAGCAAAGGCACGTCTGACGCTGGAGACCCTGGAGTGAGGTCTGCGGGGGGCGGGGGGGCAGGGGGCGGCCTGCCATGGGCGCGTGGGGAGGGCCTTGCAGCCAGAGGGAGTGGCGTGGGCACGGCCTGGTGGTGCGAGTGGGCGGGGGGTTCACCCAAAGGCCCGCAGAGCCCGCGTGGGAAATGGCACGTGGGCTTTGAGGGCGGCCCAGTAAGGGCACGGTGGAGCTGGGCGAGCGGCTGTGCGACCTCTGAGTAAGTCACGTGTTTTTACATCTCAGTTTTACATCTCAGTTTTCCACCTGCAGAGAAGGGGTGGTGGCACCTACTGTACAGAGAGTCCTTACAGGGTGAATTACATGACAGAGGTCAGTTGCTGTCCTCACACTGAACTGCAGTGTATGAAATTATTAAGACTTTCTCATTTTGATAAAATATTAAAAATAATTTCAAACAGCTAAAAATTTAGTGTTTCCCCCATAATTACATCCCGCAATCCCTCCCCCGCCCCCCCCACACATAGAGCACAGGGAGCGGCAGTAGCAGGGCAAGGTTTGCGAGCCAGCCTCGGGGATGGTCCAGCTCGGCTGTGGGCACCGGGGCCCTGCTGCATGCGGACAGGCCTCTGCCTGCCCCGGAGCCTCCGCGCTCGCTCATCCCCCAAAATTCCACTGTGCACACCTGTCTGCTTTTCCTTCCTCACAGGTGGTTCTGCCTTTAATTGATCAGTATTTCAAAAACCATCGTTTGTACTTCCTGTCTGCAGCGAGCAGACCACTCTGCTCCGGAGGACACGCCTCAAACAAGGAGAAAGAAATGGTGACAAGGTAAATGGCTGCAACGCGAAGGCTGCTGTCTGTGCGCACTTGCCCTGGGGAGGGGCCCTGGGGGCCTGGCGGGGCTGCGCTGGGGCCGCCGCCGCCCTGGCCGCCCTCTCGGAACCAGGCTCTGACGAGGACCAATCGCAGGTTGACCTACGCGATCTAGGCACTGAGGTTCCTTACTTTTGCTGCTGAGATTCCTTATCTTTGAGGAGTGGAAGGAATAAAACCCCCAACACAAATTCACAGGTGGAGGCTGGTGAGGGGCCCTGTGTTGGGATGTGTGAGAGACGGTGCTTCTCACATTGATTTATTAAAATCCTGTCGAATCTCATATTTTTGCCAGCCTTGATTTTGAGGAGGGTGAAATCCCATTTACAGAAATTATAATTTTAAATATTTAAAACAAATAATTTCCACTCTTGGAAGACATTGAAGTAAAAATTCCCCTCCCCCATACACAAGATGGCGTGTTAGCGTTAGCAACGTGTTCTCATTTCCAGTTAGGTCTAAGTGTCCTTCCTAGGTTTGCTTGTGGTTCTCCTGGCGATTTGAAGCCTGATTCCTCAGAATTCTACCAGAGCTTGTACACGAGAGAATCAGTGATGGGACAGGCCTCCCTCAGCACCGCTACATGTGCGGGTCCGTGCCGGGCTCTCAGCTCGCACCTGAAAAACTTTTCTGTGAAAGCGAGTCACCTACATAAACCAGACCTGGGCTTTCCCAGCCTGGACATTGACGATATGCTGAGGGCAGGGTGGTGTCAGCCTATTGGACAAGTGAGGTGGGGCCAAACACCAGAGGGTGAAAAACAAGATTCCTGCCTACATGACATTGGGAATGAGGACTGGAGTGGAATTTTAACCTCATCTCTTTACTCAGATACATGGTCTATCTTCCAACTAATATGTGGCTGGTCATGTGATACAGGATTGCAGCAACATTAAAACGTCCCCAAACTTCATCAAATAATAACCTTCCTGTGAAGCTGGTAGAACTCGTTGTAGTTACAATAACGGGGAACCATCCGAAGGGCGTCTCGCTCACCTCAAAGGGCCCCCCTCCAGCCCGGGGCCGGCGCTCCCTGGGTGGGTGCTGGGGGGTGGAGAGAGTGCCCAGGGCACCCACTTCCCACCGACCTCAGGCACCAGGGCCACCACCGAGCGTCCCTGTCCTCCCTGGGCCCATCAGCCTTTGTGACAGGAAGTTTGTCCCCAGAGGGCATCGGTCATTGAGATGCCACTCAGTGACATAAATGAAGAGAAAATACAGTCAGAAGGCATAGAAAAAACACAATGAGAATCGTACACGTTGCACCTCTCCCACCTGCTGTATCGTGTTTTGTTGCTCCATTTAATTTTCGGCCTGACTCACCTTCCATCACTGACCGGACCCCTCACAGAATAAATTCCAACAGCAGCACAGCTGTGGTGATTTGGGGGAAATACAGTTTCTGTAGATTCATTACGGAATGTTTGTCGCTGATATTAACTGCCGGAATAAGGCATCTTCCTTCTCCTTTTTAATTTTTTAATTAATTTCTTCACTTCATTCATTAGTACTAAGAAGCCACTGACACTTTTCACTGAGGAGAATGATCAGAAAGTGCTGCTGGTAGAACAGTGGGATCGGCAGGAGGGGTGCTGGGGTGCGGGCGCCCCTCGGCCTCAGTGCACAGATGCTCCTGAGTGCCTGCCGGGGGTCAGATGCCGTCCTCGCTCTGGGATGTGCGACCGCACGGTCCCTAACGGTAGTGACCCCAGAAGTACGGGGGACCGGCTGCATCCACGTGGTGCTCAGTGTGTAGGTGTGAGGACAGAAAGTGGGACTTATCAGGTGCTGGGTGTGGAGGGGCCGTGCAGGTGAGGGAGGCTGGAGGTGGGGACCCGGAGAAGGACCAGCGGGGCCTGGCAAGCCTCAGTCCCGAGGCTGGGCTGCTGGACACTCCTGTGTCACTGGCTCCCCCAGGAAGTTTCAGAAGAGCCCCTTTCGAGAAGGAGAGGCTGAACGGGGTGGGGCTTGCTGGCCGGACGGTGGCCCGCTGAGGCTGTCCCGCAGGAGGCGGGGGCTGCGCGCTTGGTGCTGTGGAGAGAGCAGGGCGAGAAATGACTTATTCGGGGATTATCTTTACCCATGAAATGCTCGAGGCTCTGAGAGCAGATGAAACTGAAGGAAAATGGAGGGAGAAGCAAAAAGGTTTTAATTTCCAAATGCGCAGAATTACTCCGGGGTGGGGGGTGGGGAAGCGGGGCTCTGAAGAGCGCGGAGGACAGCGGGGAGGAGGGGACGGAAGCCAGGGTGCCGCAGGGTTGAGATGCAGTGATGGCGCTGTGGCGCGCTCTCCAGGAGGGGCGCACGGGACTTGCCTGTTGGGGTCCGGAGAGCTCGGAGGGGGCTGCCCACGGGGGGGCAGTGAGGAGGCCGCGCATGGCGCGGAGCCGGCGCTGGTGCCACAGAAGCATCCCGGCCTGCGAACCGTCGGCACGCTGGTCACGGGGATGTGTGGAAAGGGACCACAGCGTCACAGACGTAGTTCTGAAGAAACCATGGGCCCGAGCCCCTGATGTCGAACCGTGCAGCCTGTACGAGCTCAGGCTTGGAAGGCGGACAGCGCAGCAGGATCCAGCCTTCCCAACGCTGGTCTCTCTAGCCGGTGGCCCATCGGTTACTCTTAGCAACAGCTGATGTTGTGGAAGTCGCTTTTCTCTGACAGGCGCTCGGACGTTAAATGTAACCATGGAGCAGCTCTGTTCACACACAGACTGTAGCCTCCGCGCGGTTAATGGGGTGAAACGCAGTGCCTGCCCCGTGAATTCAGCTTCATCTCCGACGGTTTCACCTCGATGCCAGGCAGTGCCTACTGGCGAGAGGTAAAGGCCCCCCACAGGCAGGCTGGAACGCAGGGACCCCAACAGGTGCGCTTCTAGGAGGCATGCGGTCCCTGCCACCAGGGCGGACCCTGGTGGGGTCGGTCCGCGTGGAGCTCGGTGGGTGAGGGCACCCGCAGGAAGGTGCTCTTGTTTTACTGTCTTTTTTGTTCAAGTGATGCGGCTCAGGGGGGCTAATGTCATTATAATCATTTGCCTAGTAGAGTAGATGGTCGTTTTAAAAACCTGAAGCACTGAGGAGATTCCCCAAGACCTCACCTGCACTCAGACACGTGTCGGTGAGCTGTTCTTGGAAGAGCTGCACCGCGCCCTGTGTGACTCGTTTCCATCAGCGCCTTTTTGCACATTGTTATTGACGTGAGAGAGGATGGCCAGAACTTCCGTAGAAGAGGTCAGCATTGCAAAGAGGGCTTTCTCCGTCTCCTTTCGGCCATCCTATCACAAGCGGTGGCCTTCCCGTGTCCCGGGGCACAGTCTGTCTGTCCTGTGTGCCTGGGCAGTCAGGCGGAGTGGGGGCGTGCCGCTCAGGCCCACGTTCGAGGTGGGCGCTTGGGCCCGCCCGGCTGTGCAGAGACGATGCTCTCTGAGAGTCCACACGGTGTAGGTAGATGGGAAGGTAATGCCAACTGTGATGTGGGAGGGTGCAGGTGATGGCAGAGGCTCGGCAGAGGCTGGGCAGGACCTCTTTCAGCCTGGTTTGGGAATGACAGGGGAGCTCTGGGGGTGATGTTCGCAAGGGCTTCCTGGCACACACGTGTCCTGAGCTGAGTGCCGAGGGGCCGGCCGGAGGCAGTGTGGCGCGGAAGGGAGCGCGGGGTGCTCCTGAGAAGAGGGGCCTGTGAGGAACCCTCCAGACTGCGCCCCGGGTAACGAGACAGGACATTGCCCAGGCTCTGGGGTCTGGCCTGAGAGCCACGGTGCCTCAGTGCCATCTTGTCGAATGGAGGCCACCCTGTTTGTGTCCTCCCGTTGTGGACCCAAGAGAGGACATGAGGGCCCAGGAAGGGCGCGACGGAAGGTGAGAGGTTGACGTGCTCCACTCACGCCGTAGCGCTGAGAGCCCCCCGTGCCACTGTCCTCCGAGCGTGGCCAGGCACTCGGTCCTGGCCCCACCCCGCAGGCTCCAGGGCCCCAGCCATGGCTGTGTCAGGGGCACCGGCCGGGGTGGGAGGAAGGAAATTTCAAATGCTGAAGCATTAAAACCCAATGTAACATTTCATGCCCGAAGCACCATATTTCTATCGTTAAATGATGTCCATAAAAACAACAAATTCTAGAATTTCAGTAGTATATTTGGACAAATAGAATTAAATCTTTTCTTTGTGGTTTTTCAGTAGTTACAGCTATTGAATGTATTCTCATGGGGTTCATAGAGATTGCTTTTATATTAGCTTTGCTTTCAGTTGTTTCTTTTTTTTTGGTTTCTTTACTTATAATATGTGCTTTTTAACCATGTTTGTTAAAGATATGCACTGAAAGACTCTTTCTTTAGTACCTTTACTTCACATTCTGCTCAGAGAATTGATACTTTCTGCGTGACATCATGTTGCTTTTTCCGGCTCATATATCAGCTGTTTATTTTTCTTTTTTCTTCTTCTTTTTTTATTTTATTTTAATTTCCCTGTCTTTTCTACCTTCCCTTTCCCTTCCCCCTTCCTCTTTTGTTTTTCTTATGTCTTCAGCCTGTTCTGCAAACTTGGAGTTCTTGTCAGGCATAGGATTTCACTGTTTGGTAAGGAGACCTTTGAACAGACCCCGGCATGGCCCCACCTGGTTTCCTTTGCCGTTTGCACTGTGTCGTGTGCCATTGCATGAGCGCACGTGTGTCGTTGCATGAGCGCCCGTGTGCCATTGCATGTGCCCGTCCTTGGCCGACACAGGTCCCCCCACTGGTGTGTAAGCAGCTGTACCTGTGGTGAAACTAAGGACGGGACCTTTTTATGTTCGTCCAAAGCACCTTTGGAAATCCAAACATTGCACTATCGAAGAGCAAATGATTGGAAAAGGCAGCTTCTGCTGTATTTTATTTCCAAGGGCACAGGCAAACGGGGACCTGGAATTTGTGTTGGGTTATCCCTGATAGATTAAACGCCAAGCTTTTACAAATGGAAACATGTGACTGCGCTTGCAGTGAATGCCCTTGACCGCGGATTTGCACGTCGGCTGCATTTCAGATTTTGGAGCTTCCAAGTAGAGACAGTGAGGCCGAGGACTTCAGCTACAAAAGTGACCCCAGAACCGCTCACCCATAGCCATTGTGTGTTGGCATCTGCATTCATGTGGCTGAAGCCACGCCCTGAGCGCCTGCTCCTGTGGGCCATGGGTGGCCAGCCCTGCCGGGGGCTGTGGGACTCTGCAGCCCCCGGCAGGGCATGTGGGACCCTCCTGCGTCCGCTGTTAGAGCTGACAGAGCAGGCGTTAGCCCTGTACTCGGTAGGTTTGGAGACAGTGTTACAGTAATTCCAGTAGGAAAACATTGGGTGTACCAAAAAAGATGTTGTAAGTTTAATTCCATTTACAGGAAAAACTAAGGGTGAAGTCAGTTCTATGCAAGCACAATGAGTGAAGCAAGGAATATGTGTGTGTGTGTGTGTGTGTGTGTATCCATATCTGTTCACATATATATCCGTACAAATACGCATGTGCACACACACAGAACAAATAACCTGTAAGTTCTCAACGGTACATTTTTTTGAGAAATGATAGTGTCTAAATATAATTGATGTATTTGGTTTCCAATATTATTATATCCAATATTTGGTGCTCTTAAGTTTAGTAATTAAATGTTACATTTCCTATAAACTGAGTTTTTGCATTAATGTTTCAGTTATCAAAAATCAATGTGGAAATTGTTTTCTTTTTTAAAGATTTTATTTCTTTTTAGAGAGAGGTGAAGGGAGGGAAAGAGAGGGAGAGAAACATGGATCAGCTGTCTGTCACGTGGCCCCCACCGGGGACCTGGGTACCTGGGTACCACGCCTGAGCCCTGACCGGGAATCAAACCAGCGACCTTTCAGTTTGTGGGACGATACCGAGCCCAGCTAAGACAAACTGGTCATGGCTGGAAATTATCTTCTGAATAATTTAGAGTTCACTGACTTTTGTCCACTTCTCTTCAATATAGAAAATCTCTATGAAAAGGTTGGGGCAGAGTGGTCAGGAAGAGTCTCAGCCTTCTCATCACAACAGTGGGTCCCAGCGTCTCCGCTGGTCCATAGAGAGTGTGGCCTCACGTGCTGCTCAACAGGACCCTGTTTCTCAGCTACACTTTCTGCATTCTTATTAATGGGTGTAATACTTCTTTTGTGCTGCTCCTAACTTCTTACCTATTGGAAACTCTTGGTTTCCTGTTTTATATCTCTCTATAATTTCCTTTTAATAGAGTTTGAGGTATTCCATACATGCAGCAAAATGCACAAATCTAAAGGGCAGTCTGGTGCCATAGCACGAGGAAACGCTACACCTGTCGATACCCATTTGCTCAGGCCAAGACAGAGGCTGCTTCTAGGATTCCCGAGGCCTCCCTTGTACCTTTCCTCATTTTATAACCCTCAAAAAAGGAACTCTATGGAGACGTCCATTGCCATGGATTAATTCTGACTGTTCTTTAACTTTCTTTTTTTCTCCTTGTGAATATATAACTCGTGATACCTATCTGGAGAGAGAATTAGGCTTTAACATTCATTCCATCTCTGTAATTTTGATATTCCTTTTAGGCATTGCCTTTTAAATCCTTTAGCATTTAAATACTATTTTTAAAACATTTAACAGGAACTTAATGGAGAGCTATCATCTACCTTTTCTTCAACATCATATTTTTGTGAATTCTTTATATTATTCTAGTGTCTGTTACTATTATTTCAAATTTGCTTTGGGATTTTCCTGTAAAATAACATTTCAAGAGGCCTTTATTAATCAAACATACTCTAATACGGACATGTCCAATTATCAGAATCTTTACATCTAAGACACGTGAACTTGAGATGATGCAGTTATAACCTGGCTTCAGACACTCGCCTGGTGTTCTGGAGAGAAGGGTGTGGCCTTGAATCGGAGATCCTGGACGCCAAGTCCTACAGGTATAACTAAACCGATTGAATGGTGTGGACAAGGGACTTAAGTCTCTGAACCTTTTTTATTTTAATTTTTGAACTGGGTTAAAATAACGTCCATTAATCTTAGAGCTCTATTGCGTGTTTCAGTCTAATGTTGGGCAGTGTACGTTAAAGTGCCATGTGAGCCGTCACCTGTCAGGTGTTCCTAGACGACGGAAAGGGAGGTGAGCAAAGAAATCCTCCGGCTTGGAGTCCGCGGGCAAAGGTAAAGGGGAGAAAGAGGGACAGTGACCTGAGACGTATTAGGAAAGTGCCATGCGACCAAGAGGAGCTTTATAACACACCAGGGAGTAGAGCCCTTGTCCGGGTGGGGCCTGCGGTGGTGAGCTAGTTGGACTGTTTGTCCAAGTTGGATGCCAAATTGTAGTTATATCTCCAAGCCTCACCTGTAGTTGGAAGATGTTTCTCATCGATAAAGTGAGGAATCTCAAAACTTGGACTTAATCCATTTGTGCGTGTAAGTTATCTAAATATTTCCTGGCCTTTGAAGCACATTCTCTGATAATTGAAGGGATTTGTAGTGTTCCTGTGCCTCAGATAGTCCTTTTGAGGTGTTTAATCCAATTCTTTGATATTAGAAAAAAGTAAAGTTTAAAAAGGGACAAGCCATATATGTGTAGTTCTTGTATTTCCATTAAAATACTTGATGGGAAAAATAATGGAGAAAACAGCATTTAGTTTATATATAGGCTTGTCTCCTGAACTCTGAAGTGCCCGCTAGTGATTGTCAGCCCCCGCGCTCTTGGCCTGTGGGGAGTCAGTCCGGACCAGGCAGGGCCCAGCAGGAGGGACGCCGGTCTCCCGCTTCCAGGTCCCATTGTCCACTGAGGAACCAGGGCTTTCAACTCCCCACGCCCCCCACCCTCGCCAAGTGGAGCTCCGATTCCTGGCTTCAAGGCAGCGAGGACCTACACAAACCCTCGTATGCCAGCCGTGGAGCCTTTCCCTTCATCATCCTCAGAGGCGGCAGCGTCGGGGGTCGGGAGGCCGCGCAGGGGCAGTGCCAGGGGCACGGCGTATGCAGGGCCGCGCTTCTTAAGCGCGTGGTTTCACCTATGAAACCACATCCGAGGCCTCGCTGACCTTCGCTCTGTGCGCTCACGCAGCGAGGCTTCAGTGCACGTCCGCCCCGTGCAAGGCGCTCTCGCAGGCGGTGGGGACGGAGGAAGGCTTTCCTGGTCGGAGCGCTGCCCCGCCCCCGCCAGGCCAGCCTCGGCCGCCCCGCCTGCGCCCTGAGCGCCCTGGCCGAGCTTTCTGCACGGGCCCCGCCCGGCCCTGTCTTCCCCAGGGCACAGGCTCACGTCGCGTCCTGCATGGTCAGTGGTCAGTGGCTTCCCATTGCTTTAGGATGGAGATCAGAGTTCTCCGTCCGCGGCAGGAGCGTTTCACGGCCTGTCCCCTGGGGGCCTCCACCCGCATTTCCGAGGCAGTTCTTGCTCACTGGGCTCGCCGCGGGGGCCTCTCTCTGCTCCTGGGCCGAGGTGATTCCCTCCCTGCCCCGGGCCCCTGCACACACTGCCACTGCCACTGCCGCAGGGACCCTGCAGGCGCGGTCCCCTTGCCAACCCCTCACCCTCACCACGGAGGGCACTGCTCTCCCTTCAGGGTTCAACGTACACACTCCTCTCTTGGGTCACCTCCCATGCCCCCGACGTTGGTCCTGCTGTCAGGACGCTCAGCACCCCTGCCCTGCCCGTCCTGTCCCTGACGCTGCGGCCAGAGCGCGGTCGCTCTCTGGCACAGATCGCTCAGCCCTCTGAGGGCTCATTGCTGTGTCCTCAGTGCCTAGCAGGGGGTCTGACACATAGTAGGCGTTTTACAAATCTCTGATGACTGAATGAATGACCCAGCCAGGGCCTGCCTTCAGGAAGCCTGCACTTATCTCGCAGACAAATGGGCAGGTGTCTACAAGGAGAAATGTGCTCCCAGTGTGAAATCTTCTTACATTCATGAATAATCCGAACTCAACATTTTTTTGCTTGTGATTATTAAGAAAAATATAATATCCACTTACCTTACAATTTATGAGAATGATGTTTAAGATCCTTAAGTAGCCCGTGAAAACAAACAGGGCCCTTTCATTGACCCAGAATGGCCTGTAATTAGCGAGTAATCCAGCAAGGGAATTAGACTCAGCAGCCCTGGTCTTTTCCGTCTGAGGAGAAAGGTGAGAAGACGGACACTGAGAACAGTTACCATTTGGGGGCCTTTTCTACCTTTCCAGCTTCAGGTGAGTTTTTTTTTTTTTTAAATCATATTAGTAAATTGTCCAGACAGTCCCCAGAGTTACTGGAGAAGTTCCAAATTTAATAACAGAGACTTCTTGGAGTGCCTGGAGAAAAGCAAGCATTTTGTAATATAATAAGTATAATGCTCCAGTATTTCTTTTGATTTGACCTAAAATGACCCTAGAAGTCAACATGTCACGTCAGTAATTCAGCTCTAGAATTAGCTGCAGAATATTGAACAAGATGAGAATTATGTGTTGAAAGGAAACACTAGTTCTTGTTAACTATTTGTTTTTCTTTCTCCTAAGTATGTACAACTTAAGCTGGTACATAAATCTTAATGTTATTTTTGAAAGAGTTTTAACAGCAAATAAAGTAATATAGTGACCTCTACCAGTTGGACTCTCTCCTTGATTAAAAAATTAGCAGGTTAAATGGATGTTGCTCCTTCAGTATCTGCTCCTAAAACCCACACACGCATTGCGTGAGGACCGCGATCTTAGGTCAGGAGAGATGGAGAGTCAGGGTACGCTTGTATCTCCCCTAAAAATGCTCACACTGTGCTAGTGTTGTTTACTGTTGTGGGGCACGTGGGCTGAAAGGACAGCCATTAAAGTAGGAAGGCCCTCGGGACGGAGCACACGTGCGGTGGCTTCCCCCTTTCTGAGGATGCCACGTTCCATTGGGCGCATCTGCTGCTGGGACCATTGTGGGGCCCCGGGGGATAGGGCCCCGAGGTCTTTAACTCGGACGTTCTGTAGTTTGTGACAGTATACATGGCAAAGAGAAGAGTTTCCTGGACTTGTTTCATATGCTTTATAAAAAGTAACCCACTTCTTGTGGAGAGGTGGGTTTGGTCAGAAATATCAGATTCAGACACGGTAATGAAAATAATGTTCGAAGATAGTATTAGAGCGATACAGATACTTCTTTCATTTGAACGTATTCCTATGATAGACTTTCCTGACTGGGGCCAATGATTAAATGTGTAATTATCAGAAATATGTTTTCAGTTTAACCGAAACATCTCCCAAAGTTAGGGAATTGGTAATTTTATTTCTACCAATATCACAGAGTCTGGAGGTGATAAAAAGTCACTGGCATACGTCAAGTCTCTCAGTGCCCGCATCATTTTGAGAGAAGTAATATTCCAGCCCGACTTTATTTTATGCTATTAATAGGGGTTCTGCCAAGATTAATCATTAGTCAGAGAAGAGAATGTCGTGAAATACTGTGCCCGGAGCCACGCAGAAGACGTGGGGAAGAAGGCGGAACGTCGGCGTGGCCTGTGCCTGCCCTCCCTGGGGAGCGGGCCGCGCTGGCGACTGCAGCGGGCCAGCGGCAGAACCGCGCTGCACTGGGCGGCCCGGGCTGGGTGGCAGCGCAGACCCCGGAGTGTCAGAGACCTTGTGTTCAAGCCACTGCGAACCACAAGCCAATTGGGATTAAAATGCAAAAGGATACTCTGGCCGCTTTAACGCCATTTCTTTTATTTCGAGAGTGGCACTGTTTCATGAGCGTCGGTGCCCTGCGCGCCATCTGCGCGGTGAGATGCGGGGCGACTGGAAGTGCCGCTCACGCTCAGCCACTCCCGCGAGGCCAAACGCAGGCGCCACGTCAGACGGGCGCTCGATCCGCCGCCATTTCCCTGGGTCTTTAGCTGTGTTTGAAGACAAGGGAAGTTAATAGTTTGGACCTTGAGAAAGTGTGAGTTTAAAACTATCAAACTTTGTGTGTGTGGTTTTTTTTTACACTACTTAGAGCAGTTAAGCAATTACATATAGTTAATACATTAAAATATAGCCGTCACTTCAAAATTTTAGCATTTTGTTTCCCTTTTTCACTACTCTCCCTGCTCTTACTTGATGACGCTTCTGATTACAGTGACCTGGGTTGCCTCGAGAAGGGTGGGATTGAGATGGTTCTTCATTTAAAAGCCTCCCTACGTGCTTTAGTTCTTCAAGACTAACCATTGTTTAGCTGTCTACATAGTCAATAGGTACTGGCACTCGGTCTGCACCATAAAAGGCTGAAAATTCGATGAATGTCTTTTCTGCGTTCCTTAACGTCCTTGTGTGCCATATTGACACTGAGATCCACTTAGAGGTGTTTGGTGTCCAGCTTGGAGGGCACCGAGATGGGCGGGTTCACGGAGCCTACAGTGTGGGGCTTCCACTGTCACAGAAACCTGACGCTCACCAGACGCATTTTCATCCCACGCACAGATCTCGTCTGCCCCTGTGTTTGATCTGGTGCCTGAGGTTCGCCCAGCAGCCTCCTAGGTGCAGGGCCGCCTCGGGGACCGGAGCAAACAGAAGCCCCGCCCCACGGGCCCTGGCGGAAAGCAGGGGCAGGAGCTCGAGTCAGAGGCGCTGGGCCCCTCTCTGCCCGGCGGTCAGTGGCAGCTGCCCGAGCCTCCCCCGCCGCGATGCCCATGAACCCTCCCTCACGGGCCTTCCCTCCCCCTCTTCTGTGGTGCGCCATCCTCACCTTTTCTCCTCCAGGCATCCCAGGCCCTGGGCCTCTTTTCGGTTATATATACACTTGCTCACACTGGCCGATTTCATGTAGGCCCATGACTTTAAAAGCTATCTATATGTGCAAGGTGCCCACGTTTGCAGCTCCCACCGGATCTCTGCACTGCAGATTTTTCTATCGATCGCTTGCCTCACGTCTCCGTGGAGATAACCTATGGGCCGCAGAGGACACGACCCCACCCCTCCCAGGCTGTTCCCCTCCGGCCTCTGCGCGTTGTTGAGCCCCATTCCCGCAGCTACGCACCGAAACCGCCGGCCGTTATTCTCGTCTCCCGCCCCTCTCGCCCCCATTTAATCCATAAGGAAACACTGAAAAGCTTGCTCTTAATGTCTTCCCTGCTGCCAGGCTGATCCAAGTTCACCTCCATCAGCCCTCTGACCCCGCCTCAGCCGCTTCCTAACTAAGGTCCGCTCCTGCCCTTCCAGCTTTGCACGTTGGGACGTCATCCAGTGTCAGCCAGATGCCAGTCTGTTCAAAAGCTAAGAATGTCTTTATGCTGCACTAAAAAAAATTACCCAGAGTTGTTGCCCTCGTAGTCAGGCTCTGGGGCCTGGCCTCCCACCTGCCCCCTCGCGCGTCACCTCTTCCCTGAGTCCTCACGCCAGCTGCCTTGTTGACACCTTCGCCTGGAGCCCCGGGCGCCCCTCCTGCGCCAGAGCCTCTGTGCGTGGTCCCTCTCCCAGCTGCGTGCGTGGCGGGGCCCTCCCCCGTTCAGGCTCACAGCTCTGCTCCTCTGACACTCTCCTGACCTCTCGCCTGTACTCTCCTGCTGCTCTAATCCCTATTTCCTGCCGTATGTTTTTACTGTGGCCTGATGCTACATATTAGTTTTTTATTGTTTGCTCTCATATTCCTCATTAAAATGCAAGTAGCTTAAGAACTGTTTTTGCTTTTTACTTGAAGTTTGAGAGTGCCTGGTATTTAACGTTTGTCGAGTGAATGGATAATTAAATGAGTAACGCTTTCAGGGACTGCCGTACAAGCCCTGTGATTACCACCAGAGCTGGGACGTAACAAATCCTGCCCTTCTGCCGGCTTTGCCTTTACTATCGCCGGGAATTCTGAGATGCAAAGCACAAGCTGATGGGCCTGTCCTGGGAGAACTTGAGGTCTCAGCAACGACTGCCGTTTTCCTTATTCGTATCACGTCACAAAGCTGGCCTGCTGGCTCTCTAAAGCAATTATTAATGTCCGTGTGTGTTTCATTCATATTAGGGTACTTTTTGTGTAAAGAATATAACATATCCCAATGTATTAAAAATGTACATTCAAGTAGGAGTTGTTAACCTTAGGCCCCAGGAAATGATGATGCTATATAATGAACACACACACACACACACACACACACACACATACACCTTGTATATAGACTGAAGAAGTCATAATGTCAGACTACATGGTGAGCAGTCAATAATTTTGTAACTTGGAACTTGCTTTTCTGTATATATATAGTAACTATATAATTCACATTTCTGTCAATCAAAAATCATATATAGTAATTGTATAATTCATATTCCTGCCAATCAAAATGAGTGAATTTCAACTTTCAGGAAGAGTCAGCCCCATTTTAAATACCTCATGAGAGCAGAAATGAACTTTTCTGGCTTCTGATGCTTTTTTATGTGATTGCTCGGTGCTGCTTTTTCACCAAAAACCAATAACATTCAGGCAAATCAATTCATCTGAATGCAGTTGAATGCAATTAGAAAGCAGAGACACTGGGGTAATTAAAATGGAATTAAATTGGTTAAACTTCCAGCTCACCGCTTCCATAAAGGCGGTGAGCTGACTTAGAAAGCTGCCACGCAGCGTGATTCAAAGCGAAGATGAGCTGGAATGTGGAGGGGTGCACGAGAGGAGCTGGGTTGAACTTCTCGCCCCGGTGCATTGCTTTGGACGCTTCCTGAGTGTGTCGGCTCCGTGACCCAGCCTGCTTCACCGCTGCCCTGCGTATATTCGCATAACCACCCAGAGCAGGAAACTGCATGATTGTAAACTTGATTATCAAACATCTTTTTAATTGAGTTAGTATTACTCATTTGTTCTGTGGACTAATTTTTGAAACACAGATATTAATAGAAGAACATCGACACATTCTCAGGGCAATTTACACAACATTTTTTTTTCCTCTCTAGGAAATGATGCAACATCAATTGTCAACTGTCTTCATATTTTGGGCCAGACTTTGGATGCAAGGTACATGGATATATTTTTATCTAAATCAGTGAGTGTAGTAATGACATCAGAGAATATTAAAATGGACCTACTGTCTTGACTACTCTGGAGTTGTAAGAAGGGCTTTAGGTGGAAAGAAAATCTTTTGTAAATTACTAATGCAATGACATTTTATTATTTTTATGATCATATGTAAGTTGTTACTTAAATTTCAAATAGTTCCTCTAGCAGCTTGGTATGTAAGTGGGGACTTACCTGGGAACACGTCCTGTGAGGTAGAAATTTACAGCCTTTGTTACTTAAATTTCAAATAGTTCCTCTAGCAGCTTGGTATGTAAGTGGGGACTTACCTGGGAACACGTCCTGTGAGGTAGAAATTTACAGCCTTAGAGGTCACGTTAGTGCGCGGTGTGATGCCAGGCTCCGTGCCTGCAATAATGTTTAGTTTTATAGGAAACATGAGGGTTTGTTCCCAGTTTACAGACGAGTCAAATGAAGCTTAAGTTTGCAAGTGAGTGTGGAGGTAGAGCAGCCCCAAGTCTGAGCTCTTTCTGCTCCGCCCCACGGGCAACATACCCGCAAATCCCATATGTGCACCGAAGGCAGAATCAGTCCACCGAGCATGACCGATCCAGCCTCTAAGCCACAGCATTAAATTCAATTACTACCAAGAATAAATCTAAATAAAAGTTTCTGAATGTTGTGTAACAGAGAGTGTTCCACAATACTTTTGGTTATCCATTTTTAGTGTTTAAAGTTTTATTTGTGGTGTTTGGTATGATAAACGAAGAAAGAAGATGGCATTACATGTCTTCAGTTTTTGCCAGAAGCAGTGGCAGTAGAGTGTTTAACGTTCGGCCTTCAGAGGCCAATCAAGGAAAGGCCGATCGCTGCCCTCAAAGCTCAAGGTAGCTGCACCCCATTGCCAATAAATGTTCCTTTCACAGCCATTGCCTTGGGGAACATTCCCATTTCTGCTGGGTTTGCAGTAACTGCCTCAGAAGCTGGGTTTGGCCAGTTATAAAGTAAGTGCCCTCAAAGTTTCTGCTGGTGGGACCCAGAAGGCGGTGGCCCTGCCCTTTGCTCCCAGGTTCTGGTCGAGTTGGCTGCGAAGGAACTTAGGGGCAGTCGTGAACTCACAGAGCAGCATGGCCGAACCCTCAGTGCGTTGAAAAAGTATTTGAGAGTGGATTTAAAAGCTGGCAGGCGGAGTGGGTGCTGTGCAGGAAGCCAAGTGGCCGCGGCCTGTGGCTCACCTGCCGCCGCGCCCCATTCCTCCCAGGACGGTCATGAAGACGGGACTGGAGAGCGTGAAGAGCGCGCTCAGGGCGTTCCTGGACAGCGCTGCTGAGGACCTGGAGCAGACGCTCGAGAACCTGAAGCAGGGCCAGTTCACCCACACCCGCCACCAGCCCAGGGGTGTCACCCAGATCATCAACTACACCACGGTGGCGCTGCTGCCCGTGCTGTCCTCGCTGTTTGAGCACATTGGCCAGCACCAGTTTGGAGAAGACCTGATAGGTACGTGAGTCTGTCTCCTACAGCCTTGGTACCCGAGTGGCGCAACCAGACGCTGTGGAAGCCACGTCTGGGCTACTCAGATGCTGCTGAGACACTGACGTGCTGGTTTGCACAGTGTCCTAGGCTGATGTGTGAGTTACAGGGACCGTTCTTACAGGGGTGGGTCACTGAGTCCTGGACAGCCTCCTCCACGCTGTCCAAGCACAAAGTCCAAAGGTGACTATTTCTGTGGGTTTTTTTCATGGCCACTTTCTAACACGCTTTGACCATGGGATGGGCAGCGTACAATGTTCTCAGCGTCGCTGAGTCGATGCAGTAGCTCCCACGGGCTGCACCGCCCATGGACGCGAAGGCTGCTGGGACACAGCGTGTATGCCAGTCACTGCCCGACTCGGGTGGCCCAGACAGCCTCTGAAAATAGGTGTCAGTCTCTTTTCCCTGGGGACCTCACCAGCTGTTTTGGGCTGGAATGCTGTAGTTATTAAAAATATCCACGGGAAGCCCAAAGTTATGTGAAAAAAAATACCGCAGGGCCTGCCCTCACTCGAGGGAGGATGTGAGTCCTTGTCAGGCAGTCCTGGCTGCGGACCCAGCCCCGGGACTCGGCTGGAGGGGTTGGGTGACAGCGGCTGTGGGTAACACTGGCTGAGTTCCTCGGTGGTGCCGCAGCACTGGCTGCACACTTTGACGGAGCCAGCAGGCACGCGGCTCGCAGTGAGCGTGGACAGGGAGGAGGGTCTGGGGGAGAAACTGATGGTTTCCCCATTGAGTTGTGGTGTTTTCTCCAGGAACTGGTAGCAGAGTTGGGATTAGAAATTCAAGGTTCTTAGAGTTCCGTGCCCCTGAACAGCTCTTACCGGGTCATAGATCATGTACCAGATATTGTATGATTCTTGAGCTTCAAAAACTACCGAAGGGATGGACTGACCCCATGAACATCGGGCCACTTCGGGAATAGCTGACGCACCCTGTGCTCTGGCTCCTCGTGCTCGGCCCCTGGGGCTCCACCGAAAAGACACCGTCTTTGTGCTTTTGGAACGAGAGTCAAATCCCCTGTCCTCCCAGATACTTTTGTGTGTGATTTCTTCTTGAAGAAATCTTTTATTCTTATACCTGGAGGAAAATTATAAAGGGACTCTTCCTGATAATGTTCTGCATAGTCACAGCACAAGTCTTTAGAACACTTTGAACTCCTGAAAGAAAATAACTTGGTTTGAAGGAAACTTTTTACATTTCATTCTACATATTGTTTGTCATTGCTTCTTTCAAATGTTAAAATATTAGTGTGCCTTTAATATGGGATTTTGTTTTTAACCTAAACTTTCTTAGGGCAATGTATAAATAACAAGAGGTTTCTTTTCATGTGAGATTCCCTCTCTCTTTAGTGGAAGATGTACAGGTGTCCTGTTACAGAATTCTGGCCAGCTTGTATGCTTTGGGGACAAGCAAAAGTATTTATGTAGAAAGGTAAGATTTTATATTTCACGTTGCCTTAATAGCTGTTTCAGGTGTTATAACGAGTCTTCACTTTATAACATTTTCCTTAGTTATTAACTAAACCAAATTAGTGTATTGAATTTTTTGGGACTAGTTAGACAATCTTTAAGATACATTTGAGTTGATATAATAAAAAACAGCTGAGCTATGGGGAAAAAATGTAAAGCAATTATGCTGAAGATTATAATATAAAATTTAAACTTGAGTGTTATGAGACTTATGGAGGAATCTGCCAATGTGTGTGTAGCTTGCAATTATAAAATGACCTGGGGAGAATATAAAAATAAAATTTTGGAGATGAGTACAATCTCATTTTCATTTTTTCATTTTTTAAAAAATGAAAAAGTAACACTATGCTAAGAAAAATTAAGTAATTTTAGTACAAGCCATCTAAAAAAAATTGCTATTTCTAGATTACCAACACAAATGATCAGAGTTAGTCTGAGAATTACTAATTGATTCAAAAATTTAAAGTTAATTAATTGACATGAATTGTTAATGAATGGACTAATCCAATCAGATGTAAGGGACTAAATTACTGATCTTGAAATCATACATAAAACATTGTCACCTATTAAATTCTTAAAATTTGCCATTCTGCATCCCTATTTTTAGTTAACGAAAGCAAAAGTTAGAAAAAGTAAGCAATTTTTCTACAGTGGTGTGAGTGCTAGGGATAAGATAGGGTCTCAGGTCTCTCCAAATCAAAACCTATGATCTGTGTAATTCCTTGATTCCTAAATTATTTTTAATAATGCAGTGTTATTAAATCTTTGATTTGGACTCTATTTTACTCAGCGCCATTCTGTGAAGGAACATTTTCTCCTAGCTGACTAAATACCTAATTTTTAAAAAGATTAAAACAGATAATCAAACATTGTTAATTTAAATATTAGATTTTTTCAGTGAGAAATTTAAAACTGCCCAAGAGAACTATATAATCTTAATTATATTCATTTTATTGACTTTAAAGTATATTTATATAAAATCATTTAAGGAGTCCACACTACATGATGCTCATCCTGTTCCCTGTTTAATAAGCACATTGCGCACCAGTGCGGCCCTGGGCTCGGCTGGTGACCGAGGGAGGGAGTTCCCTGGTGGTGGGGCCCGGCCGCAGCCTGATTCCTCAGGCCCCTCCTGCCCTGGAGAACAATGAATCAGTTCCAAGTATAATTAGCTTTAGTGTTTGTATGTCTTAATGTTTCATAGGTACCTGATATTCATTACATACAGTAAAATGTTCAGAAAGTTATATCACTTTGTACTTTGTTTTAAAATTTCTATTAATCTATTTATTCATATAGCAAGAATTCGTCCTAAGTCATTATGTTTAAAGAGAAAGGGAAAAAAGAAAGAAGTGTCCAAGCTTGTGGAGGATTTACAGGGTTTTTCTTGTTATCTTGATTTGCACTGTTTGTTTGAGCCAAGAGATAATTGAACTTTTTTTGAATGGCAGGGACTTTGCTGTTGAAAATACATGATGATTTACAATAAGAAATTGTGTTTGGGGATTAATACTATTAGTTGCATTATTATTGTCCCTCTGAGGTTAAACTCACCAGTTTTAATGTACTTTGGGCTTTTTGGGAGACTGAAAACCACCATCACCTTCTGCCTGCAGGCAGCGCTCTGCGCTGGGGGAGTGTCTGGCGGCCTTCGCGGGCGCCTTCCCTGTGGCGTTTCTGGAAACTCATCTTGACAAACATAATAGCTACTCCATCTACAATACCAAGTCTTCACGGGAAAGAGCAGGTATGCAGACACGTGTGCAGTGTTTGGGATGCGCAGCTAAAGCCTCATGACAAACAGTGCCTCTTCCTGCAGTGGTTTTTAACGGGCCATTTCAGTTGATGGTCCCTCAATGTGCTTTGTTCTTAAGTGCTGTTATTTAGAATTTTTGGAGTGCTGTATACTATTCCTGTAGTGTTTCTGAAAGAAAATTAGTTTAATTTCTTCTAACTTAATGAGCCACAGACATATCAGCACTCTTAAGGATAAGAAAAAATGATCAGCAGATATGAAATAGTAGGTCAATAGGATTTCTGATACAGTTCTCTCTCATAGGTAAAGGTATGACATTCGTATTTATTACACTTATGCATTTGTACTCTTCACTTTTCTTTGTTCCCCAGATATGTCTACATTGGGAGACTTTTATTCTATGTGAGATTTTTTCCTAATAATTTTTCCAAGTTTTATCATTTACAAAACTTAAAAACATAAATCTAAAACATTTAATCACTGACTTTAATTTGCACCTGACCCTAGTATGTGTATCCTTGCAATATTTTTGTCTGTGTGTATAGTACCTATCTATATGCATCACATCACTTTCCATCCTGGAAAATCTGATAATTTTCTAGGCAGATACATCCAATTTTTTCACTGTTCTAGCCAAAAAGCTTCAAGAACCATTACCAGTGATTTCAAGAATTAACCTTTGGGAACCTATTAGAGTTATGTACTAGGACTTGAACTGAGTTATATAACAAGTAGTTATTAATGCAGAAGCAAATTAGTCCTTTAATCAGCCTTTTCTTAAAACAGTTTTCATTGTTGACACTGTTACGGGTGTCCCGCATTTCGAAACCTGGCCATCACACAAGTGCCCTCTTAGGCCAGTTCTTTTGGGGGCCGGTTGGCTTCCTAAGACAAGAACCTCCTGCCGGTCGCACTCACGCAGCTGCCTGCTGAGAGGGTCTCTCTGTGTAACTTGTATTTTCGGGCAGCGGCTGGCCACACAGATGGGATAGTGTATTTCATCAAAGACAGACTCCTAAAACTGCGAATATTCATTATTTAATTTGTCTATTTTATAATTCTAATTTCATATAACATAGGAAGTTAAAACTATGTTAAATGTGATTTAGCAATGTTTTTCTACAAAATTTCCACAATGTATTCGTAAATAGTAAATTTTGGTTGATTTTGTATTAATCATCTGTGTAAACATGTCTTACTAAGTTGTCTTATTTACGATTTTTGATTCATTAATAGTTTAGCTATGAATCAAAAATGAAGCCAATTTGTACATTCATTATAGATAAGGAATCACAGGGTATTTGCATAACAAGTAGAGGAATTGAATTTAATGATTCCCTTCTATTCCTTTTTTCAGTCATTGCACAAATATTTTGATTTACGCTGTGGTAGATGGGAGACACATGACACAAAGATGCCTGAGACTTGGTTCTTTTCCTCGGGGACTTTTAGGGGCAGTGGAGGGAGGGAGGCCGAATGAATACAGGTGACAGAATCCAGAGTGAACAGTGCGGGGACACACAAGGCAGCGCGGGCCGAGCCGCCGGAGAGGCGCCGCAGAGCTGCCACAGGGGGCGCTGGAGTCCGGGCACCGGAACCGGGCGCCGCAAGGGCGGCCTCTGGCTCTCGGAGGTGGAGGTCGCTTTCAGGAGGGAAAGGAGCAGGAGGTGGGACAAGAGTGGAAAGCCGGCAGAAGTGAGGTGGGCGCCCCCGGTTGGGGAAGGAGTGGGGCTTGCCGGCTTTCCGCAGGGTGCGACCGGAGCGAGGACCCTCCGCGGCCGGAGTCGGAAGTGTGGTGCCGGCTCCGCGGCAGCGGCAGAGACGGCCCTGGGCCTCGTGACTGGAGCGAGCTGCTTAGGAGAGGCCCTGGGGCGGCCCGCTCTGCGGAGGCGTCGGAGGTCGCGGCCTAGACTTTCTCCAGGCTTCCGCCCTGGGGGACTGATTGGGTAACGTCCCCCACAGAGTACACGCCCAAGAGCCGGTCAGAGCGGAGGAAGTCGAGTGTACACTTAGAGCCGTAGTGGTCTAGCTGCTTTTGAGACATTCGTATTAGACAGACACACACACACACACACACACACACACACACACCCACACACACACACACACTCGCTTTCCGGGCTTGCTACCGCACAGCGACCTCCCTACACCGCACACACACACACACACACACACACACACCCCCCCTCTGTGGCTTTCGGGGTTGCTAGCGCACAGCGGGGGTCCCTAGGACCGGACACACACACACACACACACACACAGGACCTTGGCTTTGGGGGTTGCTAGCGCACAGCGGGGGTCCCTAGGACCGGCCACAGTTGCCTCAGTGCACATATAAGCCCAACAGGGGGAGAGCTAAAGACAGGTCCCACGGAAAACACATGTGGAAGTTCGGCAGAGAGAAAAGAGTGAGTGAAGGGCGTCAACAGCTCCAAAGAGTCGTGACAGAGCGAAGGGGGGGAGCGAGGAGAGAGGGGTTTGGGGCGAGGGGGCGAGGCCAGCGCCTGGGAATGTACGCGGGGGGCCGGCGGCCCCGTGGGAGGAGCGACTGCAGAGTGGACGGCCCAGGAGAGATGCGGCGGGGGGCGGCCGGGGGGCTTGTCATCGGCGGGGGGCGGCGGGGGGCCGGGTGGAGCTGACAGAGGGCAGGGCTGCGCGTGACGCGCCCCACGAGTCCCCACTGTAGGGCAGGCGGGGGCTCTGGAGCGCAGCTGGGACCCCGCGTGGGGCCCCCAAACTGCTTCCTCTGAAAGGATGTGAATGTGGGAGCAGACAGAGGGCTTGTGGGCAGAGACGCTGAGATTCTTGTCTGCCCTGAGGTACGGGGGTGGTCATTTGCTGATCTTAAGGGATGGGGGGTAGGGTAGGAACGTGGAAAAAGAGGGGAAGGTCGGCGCGGCAGGTACAAGAAAGGACAAGGGCCCAGGTGAGGCGTGTGGGCACATGAAGTGGTTGTCTGTGCCTCTTCTTTCGGTGAACACCATTTATTCCGTGCGTGTCCCTCTAGCCCTCAACTTGCCAGCGAGCGTGGAAGACGTTTGTCCAAACATACCGTCTTTGGAGAAGCTCATGGAGGAGATCGTGGAGCTGGCCGAGTCTGGGATCCGCTACACGCAGATGCCGCACGTGATGGAAGTCATCCTGCCCCTGCTGTGCAGCTACATGTCGCGCTGGTGGGAGCACGGGCCCGAGAGCCACCCGGGGCGGGCGGAGGCCTGCTGCACGGCGCTGGACGCGGAGCACATGAACACGCTGCTGGGGAACATACTGAAGATCATCTACAACAACCTGGGGATCGACGAGGGCGCCTGGATGAAGCGGCTGGCAGGTGAGGAGGGCGTCCCCTGAGGGCTGCCTGGTTCCCCGAGAGGTTTGAAATACAGAAGACGAGACTTTTTCTATCTTAGTCTTTATTAATATTTTATTCTGTGCTAAGAAGTGTTCCTGGTTCTGCCGTGCTGTTCCTGAAGAGGCGCATGTCAGACGTCGAGTGCCTTGCCTCGTACCTGCAGCTTTTCACCTCGCGGGGTGGGGAGGGCGGTGGGGGGCGCTCGCCTTGCCGTCCGCGTGCCGTTGCCCTGTTTATGTGGAGTACGTGAGAGGAGTTTATTTTTGTTTTTTGTGCTGACATTGTATGCATGATTCTTTTCTTTTTCTTAAGGTTTTTTTAATTGTTTCTCCCATTACCATTTACCACCCTAATAACCCCTCCCCCACAGTGGCCAGACCGTTGTCCCTGCCCACGAGTGCTTTTTCCTTTTTGCGCCATCTCCCCATCCCCAGGGCTGTCAGCCTGCTCTCCGTCTACGAGTCTGCCTGTATTTTTCTTGTTAGTTCAGTTTGCTCATTAGAGTCCACATATGAATGAAATCATACGGCATTTGTCTTCCCCTGACTGGGTTATTTCACCTAGCGTTATGTTCTCCAGCCCATCCATACTGTCACAAAGGTAAAATTTTCTTCGTTTTTATGGCCAAGCAGAATTCCATTCTGTAAATGTCTCATAGTTGTTTTATCTACTCATCTACTGATGGACACTTGGGCCGCTTCCGTATTTTGACAATTGTTTATAATGCTGCAATGAACATAGGGTGCTTATGTTCTTCTGCATTAATGTTTTGAGTTTCTTTATTTTCCCAGAAGTGGTATTGGTCATAAGGCAGTTCCATTTTTAATTTTTTGAGGTATCTACATACTGCTTTCCACAGTGGCTGCACCAGTCTGCCTTCCCACCAAGAGTGCCAAGTTCCACTTTCTCCACATCCTCACCAGCAGTTTGTTGATTTATTGATGGTAGCCATTCTGAAACATGTGAGGTGATATCTCATGGTGGTTTTAATTTGCATCTCTCTCATGGTTAGTGATGTTGAGCATCTTTTCATATGTCTATTGGCCATCTGTGTGTCCTCTTAGAGAAGTGTCTATTCAGGTCCTTTGCCCATTTTTGTAATTGGATTTTGTTTGTTTGTTTGTTTTTTGGTGTATAAGGCCTAGTAATCAAAACAGCATGGTACTGGCGTAAAAACAGACACATAGATCAATGGAACAGAATAGAGAGCCCAGAAATAAACCCATACCTTTGGTATTCAACAGAGGAAGCAAGCACATTCAATGAGCTAAAGAGAGTTTATTCAGTAAATTGTGTTGGGAAAATTATACAGATACATGCAGAAAAATGAAATAGATCACTTTCTTATGCCACACATACAAATAAATTCAAAATGGATTAAAGATTTAAATGTTAGACCCCAAACCATAAAAATCCTAGAAGAACACATAGGCAGTAAAATCTAGAATATTGCTCATAACAATATTTTATCTGAAATATCTCCTCAGGCAAGGAAAACAGAAGAAAAAAATAAACAAATGGGACTACATCAAACTAAAGAGTTTTTGCACAGCGAAGGAAACCATCAACAAAATGAAAGTCAGCCCACTGAATGGGAGAACATAGTTGCTAATGTTTAATGATATTAAAGGGTTAATATCCCATGTTTATAAAGAACTTATGGAAGCAATTAAACGCCCAGCACTGGAGCGTGGTTAACTCAGTGGACACATCCTATAGGAGACCACAGGATAGCTTTCAGCTGTAAGGTGTCAACAGTGTTTTGTGAGTTGGAAAATGCCCACGATATCATGAAGGATGAAAAGAAGAGTATCTTTATGAATTAAAAATGCATATAAATATATATTTGTGAAATTATTTATTTATAAAACCTCCAGAGAAATACATGAATGTCTTACTAATTTAGGTAGGATGATCATGATTAATTTTAACATTTCTCTTTTATGCATTTTTACAATATGTATGTGTTCCCTTGCTACGCAAGTCTAAAACGCTTGCTTACAAGTACACCTACCCTTAAATAAATGAGCAGTAAGTGACGCGTGTAACCCAGCTCTCGCACAGGGATGGGGTGGGCCGTTCAGTGAGGGAATGGTACATAGTCTGGAATGATTACTGAGAGGTGAGCACCTCTTTAAGGAATGGCCAGGGAACCTTTCCATTTGGGGGATTTTCCTTTTTGTGTGTGAAAAGAATTGATTTCATAGGGAATTAATATTTTTTTTTCTATTCTAAATCAGCCATTTACCCTTTTGTAAAAACAAGGAAGAACTTCACATTCAATTCAGTAACCACTTTTGGAAGAGCCACTCTGAGGCAGCTGTGCTATGCGGCGGTGGGGGGGGCGGACCGCGGGGGGGGGCGGGGGGGCTGGGAGTGAGGCTGCAGTTGCGCTTCGATTGATCGTAATTACATTCTACCCTCTTGAAAATGTGTACACAGAGTGCAACAGTAACATCTCTCTTCAGTGTTTTCCCAGCCTATAATAAATAAAGTGAAACCACAGCTGCTGAAAACTCATTTCTTGCCATTAATGGAGAAACTGAAGAAAAAGGCAGCCATGGTGGTTTCTGAGGAAGACCATCTGAAAGCCGAGGCCAGGGGGGACATGTCCGAGGCTGAACTTCTTATCCTGGATGAATTCACTACGCTGGCCAGGGACCTGTATGCCTTCTACCCTCTCCTGATTAGATTTGTGGACAATAACAGGTATAACGTTCGAAAGTGATTAATTTCTCAAATCCCGTCATGACCTTGTTGGGTTTGCATGTCCCGAATGAATGGCTTCCTTCACTGACTACTTAGCGATGAGCTTGTTCATGATGCCATCCATAACATAACCAAACATTTCTAGATATGTTCCCACTTCCCCCCATGGAGCATCTTAAATTGCCGTCAGAAACACATCTGGGAATAGTCTTTGTTTTGCAGGTAAAAGTCAGCAGTTTGACAGTTCTGCTGTTTAAATTCTTGTAAATGTTATAGCTGTGGACATAGGCCCCGTGTGCTCTGTAGGAAGCTGCGACCCTACACTCCCTGGTTTCAGATTCAACTTTGAGAGGGTCTTTTTCTTTGTTTCCTTCTTCTTTTTTTTTTTACTTTAGGTTGTAACTGAGCGACCACTGTATTTATTTTGTCGTCCAGGGCGAAGTGGCTCAAAGAGCCTACCCCGGAAGCCGAGGACCTTTTCCGCATGGTGGCCGAAGTGTTTATCTACTGGTCAAAATCACACGTGAGTAGGAAAATGTGGGCAGCGCCTACATTTTATTAGCCAGTTGTCTAGATTACTAGCCAATTGTCCCACCCCTTAGTGTTCTCAGATTTGTCTTCCGGGTGTCACTTAATGGTGTGGAGAGGCAATAGGAGGTTCCCCAGGGGAGTTTGAGGCAATATAAAACTTCTTTTGAGTTTTGTCATTTATCTTCAAAAAATCAGAGGGAGTTGTAATTATGCCCATGCACGGGTCATGTTTGCCTTGCATCTCGGGGCGATGTGGACCCGGGACGCCAGCGCTGGGCGTCTCCCCCGGGAACGCCCGGCCTGGGTTCCAGAGATGCCAGCACAGACTCGCGTTTACACAGGACACACTGCGTCATGGCTTCACACTTCTTTTGTCATCACACACTTTCATTTTTGTAGGAATTTTGTTTTATTCACGTGTTAGAATAAAATAAAACTCTTGCTGGGGATCCCTGTAGTAGAACATATAAAGTGCATCGTTAATGAATGTTCGCTGCTTCGTGTGGTGCAAGTAGAATGATCTGTGTTCAAATCTGAAAATGATTTTAACCCTAAAAACTTTATCTTGTTCTATAATTTTTAATAACTAGCGGAATATGGGTGAGCATTTATTATTGTCCCAAATTATTTTAAAATTTGTGCAATTTTGAATCAATTATAATTTTATAGTACTTTGTAAATGGGAGACTCTGAGAAAGTAAAAATAAACTCTGCAACCTCAGTTTCATCCTCTGAGGTGTCTTCCTAGTATATTTAATCAGATTATTATACAAATCAGATTACTTTGCAAATGCACTATTTTTAAAAAAAATTTTATACTTAATATTTAGTATATAAGTATTATTTGTTGACTACCTTGAGGAGTCTGTTAAACTTAATACCAAAATGTGTATAAAAATGTACTTTAAAAATACCATCACACAGAAATAATATGTGAAAACAGTAGCTTTATTAACATGTGAATTTTTATCTTCACATGAACCTTTATTGTCTGTGATGTCACAAGAAATTATGTTCCTCTAAACAAAGTCAATGATTTCCTACCCCAAGTAACTCCTGTTAAGGAGATGCATTAGACCATTCAGGAACTTCTAGAGGAAGTTTGGAAATCCAGAGCCCAGGATAAATCACTTAAGAAAACCGAAAGCTGCATATTTTTCCTTGAAGAACTGAGAATTTTCAACTTTATCAATCACAAACCAAAGAAACTTCTTCAAGTTTGTATGTAAGGCGAAGTTTTGGAACAACAGAATTTATTGCGATCAGTGGGTTTTTAGATGACTGTCTAAGGATACTTTCAAGAATAAGAAAAAAATTTGAATATGTGCTTTTAAATCTTATGGGTATATTTAAACACAAACCACTTAATATGGGACGTATATGTATCCCCCGATATTTAAATCTGAGGCTATATGAGCAGCTCTATTATTGCTGATAGTGAAAGCAGAATATATACCCAAATGGAAATCAAGGCTTACCCATTTCACTGCTGTCCACAAAGAGTCTTTTGTTACTCATCATTCACTAACATATTTAAATGCTCACTATGGAATTTTTAACGTGAGTTTTGCTCACCTCATAAAGGAAGGCCTCTGGTTAGATCGTTGGCCTCTCTGTAAAACTCTGATTATTTCTGCCCTCGTTTGGTGTTTCCTCCATTTCCACCGCCCAAATGCGAGGCCCGCAGAAGCAGGGCCTGCTTGAGTGTGGTGGGCAGGGTAATAGTATGGGTGTAGTCATTTATAGCTTTAATTGGAACATTTCACATAAGATGCCCTACGCTGTGCTTGAGTGTGGCATTGTCCTGTTACAGAATGACATACTTATGAGTTTTTAATAAAAAGGGGCTCTATTTGTGCCAGACCTGGCACTTCCCGTTGCCAGTGTTCCTGTGTCCCTAGGTTGACAGGGAGTGAGAGCAGGTCATGGAACTGAAAAAGCAAGTAAACCAGCAACAGGACGGAAGGTCCGTCCTAGTGCACGGCCCTCGGCGGCCCGCGCCCATCCCTGGAGGCGGGCTGTGCACTTCCCCGCTCCGCTGGTTTACGCTTTCATTCCACCGGTGGTGGATGTGTGCCTGTGTTACAAACCTTTTCTGAACCTTAGTTTTCCTACCTTTGAAACGTGTATTTATATCAAGTTCCCAGAACTGCTGGCCCTGTCCAGCCTCCATTGGATATTCAACAAATCCTTGGTCCCTTTCTTGGTAAACCTTACATAGCAGATGAATATTCATCTCTGGGACCTGCGTCACCTCTGATCACATGGACTTGTTAGTTATGTGCTTTTAACTGAAGTTTCCTTTGTAACTCCTCAGAATTTCAAAAGAGAAGAGCAGAACTTTGTCGTCCAGAATGAAATCAACAACATGTCTTTCCTGATTACTGACACCAAGTCAAAGATGTCAAAGGTATTTACACACACTGTCACGGTGCTAAAAATCATCTGAACACAACTTGAATCAGCTGGTCTTTAGGTTGTTGATGGTTTATAACTGGAATTTGATAGATCAGGTAATGTTTACTGAACACACAGTTTCAAGGGTGCCCAGGACTCGAACTATTCACATGTGGTGTGACACGCACAGAACCGACTGTCGGGGGACGGCTGTCCTCACAGCGCCCTGGAAGCAGTCAGTGCGCGGTGGGGTGTGTGGGCAAGCCCGGGGCGGGCTGGAGCGGTGTGGGCGTGGGGGAGGAGAAACCTGCGCAAGAGCCTTTGCTGTGGTTTCTGGGGAAGGCCCGGGTGAGGGTGAGGCAGAGTGAGGCCGCGTCAGGGCTTTCAGGGCTCTGGTTCACAGCAGCTGACGCTGGCTGGCTGGCACCTGGCCCCGTTCCTCAGGGCAGGTAGGTCAGGCCCAGGCCGAGGAAGTGACTGGGGGATATGGACGCTGGCTTGGTTGGTTCGAACATGAAAGGCACGCTTGCAGGCAAGTAAGTTTCTAGCTGTAGGAACCGACTGCCCTGGGACGGGCAGGTGAGGACCAGCAAGGCCCCAGGGAGTCAAGTGTCAGAATAGAAAGACTTGCTTAATACACACACTTGCAAAATAGCCAATCAGGATACTATACATGTGACTAGTCAATATCATATACAGCCACCCCCCTTACCTGCAGGGGGTGCCTTCCAAGACCCCTGTGGATGATTGAAACCATGGAGAGTGCCTGACCCTGTTCAAACATACGATAAAGTTTAATTTATAAATTAGGCACAGTAAAGATTAACAACAACAGTAATACAACGGAACAGTTATAAGAGCATATCATAATAAAAGTTAATGAGGTCGTCTCCCCCTCTCTCAAGATATCTCTTGAGTTGTTTATTTGTAGAATTTTCTATTTAATATTTTTAGACCATGGCTCACTGCCGGTAACTGACATTGTGGAAAACAAAACCGCTGGTTGGCGGTGGGGCACTGTGTTCATCAAGAGTAAACGTATGTGCATCATGTGGGTGAAATAGCCCCCCAAAAGCTGGCTGCACCATTGAAGAAGCACATGGTTGAATTCTGGGTTCCCACCTAGAAGATGGGAAGCAGGCTCCTAGATTTGTGTTTTCTGCGTCACGTGCATTGGGAAAGGGAGGAACTTCCTCTCAGAACACTTTAAAATGTATGCCTTTGTTACTGAATTATCGCTAAATACAAAAATGAGTATGTCATGTGGGTAGCACAGGAAGTATGCCGCCAAATGGCCCACGATGTGCAATCATGTGGCCTCTGGCCAAGGAAGTCAGCCCCCTCAATTCTGCAAGTGATGGGAAGAGAGCTGTGTGGGAGGGGCCCCTTACTGAACCCCGGGGGACCTGCCATCGGGCAGCCTCGTGGGCGACCCCCAGCACCGTACACGGGCACCCCTCTCCATCTCTAGTCTTGTTCGGAGCTTGAAATGCCATGTGTTTGACACAATGACACAGTAACCAGATGTGAAGCTTTGCACACCTGGGACGTTTCTCCTTGCTTCATGTGACTGTGCTCTGCAACACCTGTGAAAGAGGGTAACTTTCTGTCCCTGGGGCCAGCGGCCTGAGCTGCAATGGGGGAGACGCGCCCCCAGGAGACGCTGTGTGGACGCTGCGCATTCACAGTGTTTGACCTGGAAGCTGTCAGTGGCTTTTCCCGCCGTGTCCGTGCAGGCCAGCGGTAACGCGACCTGCAGAGAGGGCAGGGGAGGCCGGAGTTTGCTTTGGGGGATGACAAGGTACTGTCATACTCACGAACGGATCACAGATCTTGGGAGGTGGCGTCTGTGTGTTCTACTGAGTCCTCTGCCCCTGCCCCCTCTCATCTGCTGCTGCTCCCAGCGAAGCTTGCGCACTGCACACCCTGGGGGCTCTGTGGGGGCATCTGTACACACCGGCTAATTGTAAAGTTTACTCCTATTTTCGGGGGGGGGAAGCAAAGTAGTGAATGGGAGCCTCTCCATTTTAATGTTTTTCTCCCCAAATATTCTCACACCTTTTAGTCTTTTTACTTTATGACTGCTAACACTCCAAGACAAAATGGAAAGCAGATAATGATGAAAAACTTAGAAATTTGTGGTTATGCTTTGCCTCTTATTTTTATTTATTTTTTGTATTTTGCCTGCTTATGTTCTTGAAATTTTATATTACATAAATGCAATACCCTTTTTCCCCCCAGAAATAATGTTTCTAGTTCACAGAGTAGAGTCAAATACACTAAGCTGTTGCATTGTTTTACTAAGGGGGTATACACTATATATGTAATGATATATTGAAATATGTAGTTAACACAACATAATATATAAGCCGCCATTACTGTAAGATGATTCCATTGTTTCCCTATTTATGGGGGAAACTTTCAACATCCTGTTGTGATATATTTTCCTTTCTTTTAGAGAAAGCAAACTATTTGTATATTATATCCTCTTCAGCTTTTTTCTCAGTAGCCCAAAACTATTAAATGTCATTCTATGAAAATTTCTTCAATGCTTGATTTATGGCTACAAAGAAATTCGATATGCACAAGGAAGTGGCTAGGGGACAATTATTTTAATTTTGACATTAGAACATAACCCCTTAATGGGAAGAGTACTCACTGCCCAGTGAAGATTAGACTCTGACATTTGAGATGACCCTGTGGCACGAACAGAACCTTCAACACAAGCGTGAGAGGCCCCCGAGCAGGCATGGCTCTTCACGGTTGAGAAGAGGCCACCCAGAGATATTCCCAGATGTTTCCTCATCACCGATCAGTGTCCCCTGTCTGTTTGCACCAGGTTAGGGTTAGGGCCCTGAGGAGACAGGCCTATGGACTGCGTAGAAGGGAAATATAGTTTATAATAGTTTCGTGTATGATACGTGTGTGCAAGCCAAGCAGGCATTTGTCAGAACAAAAATACACTCATTCTTAATTTTTCTTAAGTATTGAGAATTATAAAACATATACTATCTAAAATTACCATGGAGTTTTCATTTATCCATAAGCTTCTCTAGAATAACAATGTGTATTTTCCTTCTAAGATTAAAAAGAAATGCACACTAGTGAATTGTAGTGACTGGGAATCTGAGAATAGGACTTAAAATCAGCAAAGTTGCTAAAAAGGAAAGAGAAAAAGAGTTTTCAGTAGGATTTTCAGAAACAGGGACCAGCAGAGAATGTGGAAGACGAAACCACAGTCAAACTAGAAACATTCACAGTTGTGGGGGAGATGCAGGCAGACCCCAACCCTGTCCCGTCCGCAGGCCGCGGTGTCCGACCAGGAGCGGAAGAAGATGCGGCGGAAGGGAGACCGCTACTCCGTACAGACCTCGCTCATCGTGGCTGCCCTGAAGCGGCTGCTGCCGGTCGGGCTGAACATCTGCGCGCCCGGCGACCAGGAGCTCATCGCTCTGGCCAAGACGCGGCTGAGCATGGTAGGTGCGCCCGCAGGGCGGGCGGCCCGGCCGCAGACCCCGGGCTTGCGCAGGCCTGTGTCTGTGCCAGCGCCCCGCCGTAAACGCTCTGCTAAGTGTGCCCTGCGCGGGCCCTAGGACTCACATAAAACGGAAAAGACTCCGCTGATGAGCGGAGCGCTCAGAGCTAGGGAGGGCGGTGTCCCCGTGCGAGGGGTGGTCCGCAGCCCCTCTTTGCAAGCGCCCCGAGTGAAGTCCCCCGGGTTTCTTTTGGCCTGCTCTGTATCCTCGTAGTGGCGCTTATGAGGGCACAAATTTTCAGAAACGCGCGGGGCCGTGCTCTGTTTATGGCGGTGGGGGGCCACGCTCTCCCTGCCCCGGGGCCCCGCGGCGCCCTCTGTTTCTGAGCGGAGGCTGGTGGGCGGCTGCGGAGGCGCGGCCCTGCTGGCTGACGCCTGACTTGGAGGGTTGCTCCTTGGCACTGCACGCAGGGCGTGTTTTAAGTGCTAAATTACTTTGCGGACGTTTCACCGGGGGACTGAGTTCGGTTTGAACCCCAAGGAACATGCTTCTCCCCACCCAACCCTTGCTGTGAACTGGAGACGCAGTTCCACTGAGCCTTAACACACTTGCTGTGGAGTTCAAGTGGGTTATTTCAAGGCAGGGCAGTAGCAAGAAATAACCTGAAAGACACCCCCAACTTTGTGGCATGCGTTCGAATCCCTAGAGATAGTGTTTAGACACACTATTTTGAACGGGGCCTGCGTGGTTTCTGGCGATGCGCGGTCAGGCCCCTGGGTGATGTTTCTTTCTTGACAGAAAGACACCGAGGATGAAGTCCGGGACATAATCCGCAGCAATATCCACTTACAAGGCAAGGTAAGCCCGCTCACTCTAAAGCACATGCAGCCTCTGTGCGCTGGTCAGTCTCTCTTCACAACAGTGCTCTTGATTTAACAGTTCAGGTACTGAAATATAAAATTTTAATCAGTTATTAACCTACTTGAAAATCCTTTTGTATTAAGGGCTCTCAAGGTAACAAAGGAGTTTTTAAAGCAGCTCATCAGAGACTGTCAATCCTTGAAAATAACATGTCATTAGTTGACAGAAAGGTTGGAAATTTCCTTCACCTGACTGAATTTGAGGACCTTGGGGAGGTGGAAACAGGTGTCTATAAGAATTTGAAATTAGACATCTAGGGCTCAGAAATTACATATGTGTACTGTATTTGAGTCCTTAGTACATAGATGTTAAGAATTGCTATAATAGGGATAATTGAATTACCTAGAAAAGCAAGTGTACATTTAGAAGAAAACATGAATGGAAACCACAGTAACACCTACTTTTTAAAGTGGGTTAAAAACCAAAGTGTTGGAAGTGGTTTTTGTACTCAAGTAAGCGTGGACTGTTATTTGGAAATTTTTTGATCCTAATGGATACATCATCCATGTGTTTACAGAGCCTGCTATGTAAGGAGTCTAGCAGTTTATCCTTTTCACTCAGCCTCTTTGCTTCTATGCATGTGCTCCTTCTGAGGAATCCTTTTGATTATGAAAGTGTCCAAACATCATAAAGTAGTGACTACAATATAATGTATGTCTTTCTGGGTATTAAAATATTTCTTTCCAAAGATTCAAGTCATATTCTTTTACTTTTAACACTTTGGAATATAATGCAATAAAGGTGAGACATACCATTAGAATATTTACAACCACAAATGTTCATTTAGAGCAAATTTCACCTGCATGTGGATGTGAGCTCAGGCACGTGTTTGGTGAGAACCTGCCCAGACTAGAAGATTAACTCCCACCAGAACATGCCCTCTTTCCAGACACCAAAAGCGTCTGAACATTTGAAAGATGTTCATGAAGCCTTCAGCCGAACCTCAAAGGCTGAGTTTAGGTTACACACATGAGTGTCAGAGGGGATCGCGTTCCCCTGAAAGGTCCTCAGGACCTGAGGGACTTGAGACCACACTCTGAGGACTGTGGCTCAGGCCGAGCACTGCCGAGTATAGGCACGGCATGTCGGGCTTTATGCTGCTTTCAGGAAATGCCCCGTACAAAGGTTATGTTTGGGTTCACAGAAGGAGGTCCTTCCGTTATATTCTAGAGGTTACTGGTAGGAGTTCTTCAGACAATCTGTGCTGTATGCTGGGGGTCAGGAAGAGAGGAGAATAGGGAAGGAAATGTGTTTGTAATTAATAGTTCTCCTCCCAATGAATGAGACCTGACTATGAAGAGGTAATGTATCCACATTATTTTTGACATTTCATTGTATGCTTTTTGACAGTGGGGGCTAGGCACGTATTAGGGAAACAAACAAACTTACAAAAAATGAAGCTTTTGTTCCTAGCTCCTTTCTGACTACATTGTCTTGAAATTGTAGAAATGGTAGTTCTGGGGACAGGGAGAATAATTTTATATTAGAGAAGATAAAGACTGCACTTACTTTGCCAAATATGAGCAAGGGTGCTTACTAAAATCTAAATATACCAGTACAGTCCTCAGATGAAAAAAGCACATGGAGAAAAACACTTTGTCTCACCGTAGGACAAATGGCATTTATAAGTCGTCCAGGGCTCGGAGCCCCGCTTCGGCACGCGTCGCCAGGTGCCAGCTGTTTTTTGACACTTCAGATTAGGCTGTCCCAGGTGGGAGCCGCGAGGGTTCGATGTTATCCACTCACTTCTGCTCCATCGCCTCAGGCTCCCATTTTTAATGGAGACCCTAAAGGGGAGGGGGACTAGGGATTGCTTTGCTGTTCCTAATGGCGGAGTTATTCTGTGTTATTTCTTTGGAGCGATGTGCTTTATCCCTGTAAAGATGCTTGTTTTTGCCAGCTCTACGACTTACGATAATCTTTGTTAGAGACTTACAGGATTCAGTTATACCTTCCACTCAGGGAACTTGACAGTATGAAGAAAAAGAATGTGTAAACTATAAGAATATGATTGTACACCTCTCCATGGGTTATATTAATTGATATTTTTGTTTCAGTGAGACTGAGCTCCCTTGTCCCTGTATTTATAGATAATTGTGATCCTGTATCATTGTCTATAAAAGTAAATGTTGTACATCTTTCAAGGTTTGACTGGGAAAGGAGGAGAGAAAAATGAAAGAACTTTGTGTTTTTCCTTTTCCTGACTATCTCCAACTCACCCTTAAATCCTAGTTGAAACTTCACTTGTTTGGGGAAATCTTCCCAACCACCAAGAGATCGGGTTAAGCCTCGTGATATCCTATGTTTCTTTTCAGTGGCCCTCATCCCAGTTGTAAGCATTTGTTTAATGTTGGTCTTCACACTAGATGATGAATTTCCTGAGTACAAATCCCTCTTCTGTCTTGATCTCTGTAAAGCATTTTGCTGCTGTGCTGCGCTCAGGTGCAATCGCAGATGCCCTCCTCCAGGACGGGTCTTCCCCTCTTTACATCGCAGCCTTGTCTTTTCTGAAATTTTTTTTTTGGTCCTGCAGCTGGAGGACCCTGCTATTAGATGGCAGATGGCGCTTTACAAAGACTTACCTAATAGGACTGAAGACAGCTCAGACCCCGAGAAGACAGTGGAGAGAGTCCTGGACATAGCCAACGTGCTCTTCCACCTCGAACAGGTTAGATTTTGTGTTGATTCAACCATATTTGCCCAACTCAGCAAAAACGTGTTTTAAAAGAGGATATGTGTGGAATTGTTAACCATGGGCCAAAAAGTTACATGTTCAGCATATTCATGATAAAGAATGGATGACTCAGGAGTACTTAATACCTACTATGTACAATTTCTAAGCTTATAATTTTTGTACCAATATGTAGACAATATATTTGGAGAGATCAAGGCTTTTGTTATTTTATTCAAAATATTTCCAAAATTATACAGATAACTAGTTTTATATACTTAATTTTAAGTCATTCTACCAAAAATTTCAGGAGTTCCACCTGATTTCAAATGTTTTATGCTGTGTCATTTTTTCATTACCACTCATAACAACATTGAGATACTATCTTTTACTGGTTTGATATTTAAATTTTTGTCTCATGTTTAAGTTTTTCCTTTTATTAGAGATCTTTTTGAGCTAATTTTCTCCAAGATCAGCAAGAAACTACATTTAAAGAACAATGCATTGATATTAAAACCATCTGAGAGTAGTGTTTTTATGTAATTTTCAGCTGCATCCTGTTTTGAACTATAAGGCTCACTGTGTGTCTGAGTTTCCCATTCATGAACTTTGCTCAAGAATTCCAAACCATTAGTATCTTAAACATTATCACTTGGTGACTTATATTTTTGTATAAGGGACCCTGTGGTATAAGTAAAATATTTGTGACACAGAGACAGTCTCTTTATTTATTTCTCATGAGGTCAATTCCACAGAATCATGCAGTGAACCAGTGTCATCTGTCACTGGGCCTGTGTGACAGGCTGTGTGATAGCCTGACGTGGCACATAAAATAGTAAAGTGCCCTGTCATCGCAGGAATTTTGTCACCTGATGCTTTGCAGAACATAGTAGCATTGCAATGGTACACATTTTTCTTTGATTCCTGATACGTGTTCTCTGATGATCTCTTGCCCCTGTCCTAGCCAGCTGAGTAACTCCAATGCCATACGCTTTGTCACCACACTGGGTGAGAAAGAACTCAGGGATTCACACACCATATGATGACGGACATGTTTTCACTATGTAACACCATAGTATGAGTAATATAATGTAAAAATATAATATGGGAGATTTAACATTTCCCTATCTTCATAATATTTTCTCGAAACATCAAATAAATACAAGTTATCATCCATCAGCAGACAGCAGGATCTGAGGTAATAGAGTTTGAAGTGCACGTAAGGTCCGAGTTGTATTTCTAGAGCCATGTACATACTGAGGAAGATTATTAAATGTTAATTAAACAGCTGCCAGAGGCCCCCTTCTGGCATCATTGCTTTATCGTATGTTTTTGATTCCTCCTGGTTTTCACGCACTCATCTGGATTTGCTTGAATGAATTTTAGATACATTAAATGAAGCATATTGAGATCTAATTGTTCTATTTTATTTGGATGTTATATTTTCATAAATATATCCAATCATAATGAACGATGCCATGTGTGAAGCAGTGAGATTGATTTCATTGTGCTGCCATTCATTCTGCGAATGTGCCCCACTGGAGGGCGCAGCCCCATTCGAGGGCACTGTCTCACGGAGGCATCACGCTCGTCAGACACTGGGCTGGACACAGCCCCGGTACTTCAGTCGCTGGAGCTATAGGAGAGAACGTGGACACCTCAGTAGATACACGTGTGATGAGACAGCATGCTCGGGTACAGAATGTGCTAAAGTGGATGCAAAAGGGCCTAGGCTTTATCTAGCTGTGGGGTAGGTGATCCCCGTGTAAATCTCAAAGGAGAAGTAGAAATTATCTAGAAGAAGCTAAGGGAGTCAGGTTTTAGTCAAGGACAGTGTTATTCACATGTTAAGAGTAAAAAGAAATCATCAATTTTCAAAGGACAGGAAAGTAGAAGCTACCTATGTGGAGATTTCATGCCTTTAGTCCCTCTATTCTAATGTTAACTTATGACTGAGTTTGCAAAGAGTACTTTCACTTGCTGAACTCAGTGCAAGAACAGTGGCTGCACAGGAAATACTTGATTTAGTGTATCTTCAGTGTCAGCACCCTTTGCGAATGTGTATTTGTGTCGTGCATTTGGTAATTCTACTCACAAGAGTAAGCTGCCTGCTTAGAACTTCCCAATGCAAACTCTAGCCAGGCTCATCAGCACACCCAGGCATTCGGTGTCTGTCTTTGGATCACAGATTCTACTGACACCTAACTACTTGATATATAGGAAAACTCACTATTTAAGGTCTTTTCTTGTGCAATAAAATACTACGCCAAGTGGCAAACTTCATGATGGCAGAGACCTTTTCTATCATGTTCACTACTGTATTTTTTTAAATATATTTTTATATTTTCTTTTAAAATATATTTTTATTGACTGATGTGAGAGAGAGAGGGAAACATCAATTTGTTGTTCCACTCATTGATAAATTCTTTGGTTGATTCTTGTATGTGCCCTGACCAGGGATTGAACCCCCAGCCTTGGCATATTGGGACAATGCTCTAACTAACTGAGCTACCTGGCCAGGGCAGCTACTTTCCCTACAATGCAGAAGCTTTTAATCAAGTTTGTTGACTGTCACCCATGTTGAGTAGAATGCCATAGTCTCCTAAGTTACCATTTACAGTCTTAGATTTCAAAATGGAATTTTAAATTGATATGTGTTAGGTCTAGTTGAACAACGCTACCCTTGGTTTTCTGCTAAGTTTCAACAATGTTTTGTTTCACTTAGTGTGGTCATTGAGAAGAAAATTGAAGTGGATAACTGTCAAAAAGTGTTCATTGATGCTGTGGAGGAAGAGGGTCACAGGAACAAGTGGTGTCAAATTACTTATGTTGCTTTCTTAAAATTCCTAAACCACTAGAGTCCAAATATTCTTAAGATTTTCTTTAAGCATTATTACAGTCATGTTTTGACCCTTTACTGCAAAGGATAATAAATTTAGTTTAATTTTTTTCAGCTAACATAACATTTTTATTTCTTCCAGAAATCTACGTGCATGCGTTGGAGATATTACAGTCTGGGAAGTAAAGTGTTAAATTGCCTAGCAATTACTAATTAATTTAGAATTACATGTTGGGACTTTTCTCTTTAATACTTATAATTAATCTCTTTTTTTCTCTTGGAGTTCCAAACACCATTAGCTAAATAAATAGCTTGCTTGCATCATTTACTACAGCTTTTAAATTCGTATTCGTCCCTATCTAACAAAATAGTTATGTATTTTAACATTTTTGCAAAGTTACATCCTTTTACTCACTCCCAGTAATGTGTTCACGAAGCCTGGTCATCTTATTGCTACCTTATTATATTAAGGAACCGTAGAATTTTCATTAGAATTTTCTTCAACTGCCTCTATGTATGTTATTACTGTGACTCTTATAAAATTAGTTAAAATCGGTACATAAATAAAAATGGGTTAATTTTTTGTATAGGCAGAAAATACATTTTAGAACCATAACCAAATTCTGAAAAGGATGCAAACTGATATTTTTATAGAAAGGTTTTATGTATCTTGATCTCAGTGATGACATCACTTCTAGTACACATTATTGGGAAAATATATTTTTGCTAAAAAAAAAGTAACATTTCAAATTATTTCAAATTTAGCATTAGGTAACTTTTAGGACGTGGGCTTTTCCATAGTTTTAAGGTGCTTTGGACTTTAAACTGCAAAAGTTTTTAGCTAAAAGCCATAGCCGTTCACTTCACGCTGTGGCGGCGCGTCTGGGGCTTACACGCCTGTCTGTGACCCACAGGTGGAGCACCCCCAGAGATCGAAGAAGGCCGTTTGGCACAAGCTGCTCTCGAAGCAGCGGAAGAGAGCGGTGGTGGCCTGCTTCCGGATGGCCCCTCTCTACAACCTGCCAAGGTCAGAGCTGTTTAATGCTTGTAACATGTTGAAGTTATGTTTCCTAGTAAGCGATGGTATGTAAGTACGATAGTGCAGGAGAAGAATAAAGGAGACGTATTGGCTCTTCTGTGTAATGACTCTGTTTTTCTTGGTTATTATTCTCAGTGATGCAACTGTTAAGTGACTTTTACGTACAGAAGCTGCTTGTCTGTCTCACTCAGATTTGCGAGTCTTTAGAGTTTTGCCCAGTTTTATACCCTCAGCACCTAGAATGCTGACATTCAGTAAGTGAATGAATGAATGATATAAGGCAGGGAGTTTAAAAACACAAAACATCACACCTTCCTGTCACCAAGACCCCCAGCCTCTTTTCCATCTCCTCACACTGAGTGTAAAACTGTGAGCTGCTCCTAAATTCTCTGCCTCAGACACTGTGTCACCATTTAGTCACATGGGACATTCTTCTCTGGTGACTCCATTGCAGCTGTTCTCCAGGTCTCATCATGGTTTCCCTGAACTGGTTGCCTCACCCTCCCTTCGAGGCCACCTCCTCACGCACTTCTCACCACCTCCTCTCAGGTTGGTGTCAGCGGGCTCTGAGCTGGCCTCTGTGCTGTCACAGAGTCAGCTGTCCCACCCTCTCTGACATGCCATTTTCAAACTGGCATCCCTTATTCCAGTGCTTCTCAGACCTAGTGCAGGCAGCAAAGGCGCCAGCCTGCCTGTGAGAAATAGCCGGGCCCTGGCCACTGAATCGGGGCTTCGGAGGGCCGCACGGGGCATTGTTTGAAGGCCCCGCCGTGGCTCTGATGTGCCGGTGAGGTCGGGCCCCCTCCGCATGCCTCTCCCAGCTACAAGAGTTCATGGAGGCTTCCGGCGCCAGTTCCCCTGTCCCCTTCCCAAGGCCCTTCGGAGCCCTAACTGCGGCCCCTGGGCCCCTCAGCCTGCCACTTGGGTCGTGAAGCTCAGCTTCCCGTCCTGCCATGGCATCGTCTCATTCTAGCACTTTCGATATTCCCTTGGGATTCCCTTACTCCATCCATTCTTATTCTCTTTCTTTTATTGGAATCCTATCTACATCTCTTCATAACTTTGCGATGGGTTTACTGATGCTTTAGTCTCTGCTATTCCATTTCTTGGGCACCTGTTTCTCATTGCTGTTCCAGGACTGAACCTGTGGATAGGCGTCCACAGGCAGTTCCCCTGGCACATCCAGTTTGTAATCCTCGAGACTGGTATCTGATGTTGGCTCATGTACTGAGTAGTTCTGCTGAGAGTTATTACCTTGTTTACCCAAAGCCACTTCATGTCATAATAGCTACCATTTCATGAGCATCTATCCAGTGTGCTTTATATTTTTATCTCGTTTTAAGTCCCACAAAGCTCAAGTGCATATGAGGTTATCCTAGATTTATAAACTAGAAAAATGAAAGTTGGCAAAGTTAGGTAACTTGACCAATGTTACGAAGCTTGAAAGTGGTGAAGCCAGGATTTAAATCCTATATCAGTGTGTGGTCTCAGAAACCTCACTCTGTCCCCTACAAAGAATGCCTCTCCAATCAACTGTAGGAAGTTTATTTTTATTTTTAGTGCACAGAAATTTAGTGCTAACGCATCACTTAATACTTTTTAAATTTATTTTAAAAAACCAACAGTGTGTTTGAAATTGTGCTTATCTTTTAGGCATCGGGCCGTCAATCTCTTCCTTCAGGGATACGAAAAGTCCTGGATTGAAACAGAAGAACATTACTTTGAAGATAAACTAATAGAAGATTTAGCAGTATGTCTTTAATAGGCTTATAAAATGAAAGTGTTTTGGGTCTAATGGTGTGAACCATTACATGTAATATTGAAGAGAAAATCTCATCACAGTGGATTGGTTTTAGGAAACTTTATTCTTGATTGTTGATGCTTTCAGTGTTTATGGGAGAATTTTGAATTTAAAATGAATTATTGATTAGACTTTGATTTTGTTATTCTCTTAAAGTTACCCTCAAAGCACCTTTAAACACCTCAGAACCAGGATAAAGTTATAATGGCCGAACCAAAACGAAGTTATTCACCAAAAATAAGTTGAAGGTTAATGAAAGCAAATGAAAAGTGGCTATTTTACAAAGCTAGGCAGAGCTGAAAATGATAGACTGGCACAAGCAGGACAGGAGTCATGCCGATGCCATCAAAGACAAGGAGGGTTTTGTCAGGCACAACAATGAGTGGGTGCTTGGGGAGCACTGATTTTGGGGGGTCTTAATTTTGTCTAGGTTGTGGGCCTGTTTACAAATCTGATCAAAACTGTCTCCTCAGGACAAGTTACAAGGAGGCCGTCCTGCAGGACTTTGCAGACTAGTTAGAGGCATCACGATTCCCAGGTTAAAGACATCTTGCCTAAAAGTTATTTCTTTAAGTAATAAATTATTAGGAGAATATAATAGATAAACTAATTCAAATCATAAAAGCTGAATCCTGATTGCCCCCTAAAATCTTAATTGAATTTAGGTGTCTTTATTATTAAAACAATGGTAGGAGATCAAAGATGGTGGCCGAGTTGGTGGAAGCTACACTAATCTCCTCCCAGGACCAAACTAGAATTACAGCTAAATGATAGAAATATTATCCTGAATAACCAACTGAACACTAGCTGGAGAGAAGCCTAATAACCAAGGATTTATGGAAGAAACACATCATGCATCCAGAGGAGGTGTGAGAGGGCTGGCTGGCTCCCACAGGCAGCAGCTGAAGTGCTGGAGGGATATTTCAGTGGCTTGGGGGGTTCCCCCTGAGAAGTGTGGAGTCTAAACCCCAAGTTGGGCTCCCCAGCCTACAGCACCAGAGCCTAGAAAGGAACCCAGATAACACCCAGCTGTGAAAAGCACTGGGGTTTCCGTCCAGGGAGAGACACCCGGAGATACCGATACCCTCTTAAAGGGCCAACACACAAAACTCCATTTGCAGCCACTTACCCTGGGCTCTGGTGGAGGGAGGGCAGAGTGGACTAGAGCCTTGTGAAGAGAGTCTGGGGATGGTGGCTCTGGGGAGAGAGCTGAAGGGTAAACTGCCAGGATCCCTGTTTTCAGTCATTCCCCATACTGCGGAAGCCATCTTTTTTAGGCAGAACATTCCCCTCCATGTGGCATGAGCCTAGGGGTAAGCAATAGCCCCGCCCTCTGAAGCTTTGCCAAGGAGTACAGCCAGAGGCTAATTCAGTGATTAAGCCTCACAGACAGCCTGCAGGTAGAGGCAGATCTCTGGGTGCTTTGAGACTTTTTCTAATCCTCCCCCAGATCCATGCTGGTGAAAAGCTGTTCTTGGTGCACACTGGATTCGGTCTGCATACATCCAGGCCCAGCAGAGGAAGCCACAAGCTGTGGATCATTGGTAGCTTCAAAGAGGTTGCCCAGGGCCAGTCACAGGCAGCGCTTGGCATAGGTCTCTATCAGAGTCTTTTTTGATCTAACTAGTACATAGAAACAAACAAAAGAGGCAGCCAAAATGGGAGGACAAAGAGGCCCCAAATGAAGAACAAGTCTCCAGAAGAAGAGCTAAATGAAATGGAGGCAAGCAATTTATCAGATACAGAGTTCAAAATAGTGATTATAAGGATACTCAACAGCATGAAAAAGACATAAAAACCAAAAAAAAGAGAGTAATGAGAAATGAATGCAATATCTGAGATAAATAATACAGTAGAAGGATAAACAGTAAGTTGGATGAAGCAGAGGATTGAATCCTTGACTTAGAAAACAGGATAGGAAAAAACACGCAATCAGAGCAGCAAAAAGAAAAAATTTTTAAAAAATGAGGGTACCTTTGGGACAACATGAAGCTTAACAATATCTGCATCATAGGAAACTGGAAGAAGAAAGAGCAAGAGATCAAGAACCTATTTGAATAAATAATGAACGAAAACTTCCCTAATCTGGTGAAGGAAAAAGAGACAAAAAAGAGGAAGCCCAGAGAATACAAAACAAGATGGACCCAAAGAGGCCCATGCCAAGATACATCATAATTAAAATGGCAAAAATTAAAGATAAGGAGAGAATCTTAAAAGCAAGACAAAACAATTTTGCAAGACAAAAACAATTAGTTACCTACAAGGGAGCTCCTGTAAGACTGTCAGCTGATTATGCAACAGAAACATTTCAGGCCAGAAGGGAGTGGTGTGAAATATTCAAAGTGATGAAGAGTAATGGTCTACAGCCAAGTCTACTTTATCTAGCAAGGCCATCACTGAAAATTAAGAGAGAAATAAAGAACTTCCCAGACAAAAAAAAATTAAAGGAATTTGTTACCACCAAACAAATACGGCAAAAAATGTTAAAAGACTTCCTCTCAGAACAAGAAGGGGAAAAAAATAAACCAGAATAAAAACAGTTAAAAAGTAAAATGGCAATACATACATTTCTATCAGTAATCACTTTAAATGAAAATGGATTAAATACTCAAATCAAAACACATAGGGTAGTAGAATGGATAAGAAAACAAGACCTATATATGTGCTGTCTTCATGAGACCCACCTTAGAATGAAAGATACACACAGACTAAAAGTAAGGAGATGGAAAAACCTATTTCGTACAAATGCAAAAGAAAAGTAAAGTTGGGGTAGCAATATTTATATCAGACAAAATAGACTTTAAAACCAAGGCAATAGCAAGAGACAGAAAGGGACCCTATATTATGCTAAATGGATCAATCCAACAGGAAGATAAGACCTATGTAAACATTTATGCACCCAACATAGGAGCACCTAAGTATGTGAAGCAAATTTTGATGGTTATAAAGGGACAAACTGACAGAAATACAGTCAGAGTAGGGGATTTTAACATCCCATTGTGTTCAATGGATGGATCTTCCAGACAAAAAATCCGCAAAGAGACTGCAGCCTTAAATGACACACTAGACCAAATGGATTTAATTCATATCTTCAGAGCATTTTACCCCAAAGCAGCAGAATATACATTCTTTTCAAGTGCACACTGAACATTTTCTAGGATAGACCACATGTTGGGACACAAAACAAGTCTCAATAAGTTTAAGAGGATTGAAATAATATCAAGTGTCTTCTCTTGCCACAGTGCTATGAACCTAGAAATCAATTACAAAAAGAAAATGGAAAAATACAAAAGACATGGAAGCTAAGTAATATGTTGTTTTTAAAAATGAATGCATTAGCAATGAGATCAGAAGGAAGAAATCAAAAGATTCTGTGAAGTAAATGAAAATGAAAACACAATAATCCAAAATCTTCGGGACACAGGGAAAGCAATCCTAAGAGGGAAATTCATAGTATTAACAGGCCTATCTCAAGAAGGAGGAAAATTCTTAAATAAACAATATAACTTTACACTTAAAGAGACTGGAAAAAGAAGAACATAATCCAGAGTAGAAGGAAGGAAATAAAGATTAGAGCAGAAAGAAATCGAGTCTGAAAAAACAATACAAAACATCAATGAATCCTAGAGGTGGTTCTTTGAAAAGATAAACAAGATTGACAAACTATTAACCAGACTCTTCAAGAAAAAAAGAGAGGACCCAAACAAATAAAATCAGAAAGGGAAGAGGATAAGTAACATCTGACCCCAAAGAAATACAAAGTATTGTAAGAAAATATGAACAACTACATGCCAACAGATTGGACAACCTGAACAAAATGGATAAATTCCCAGAAACACACAATCTTCTAAAACTAACTCAGGAAGAATCAGGGAATCTGAATAGATAGATTGTACCTAGTGAAACTGAAGTCGTAATTTAAAAACTTCCAACAAGCAAAAGCCATAGTAATCAAAACAATGTGGTACTGGCATAAAAACAGACACACAGATCAATGTAACAGAATAGGTATCCCAGAAATAAAATCACCCGTTTATAGTCAATATTTGATTGAGGAGGCAATCACATACAACAGGCTAAAGAGAGTTTATTCAAGAAACGGTGTTGGGAAAATTGGACATACACATGCAGAAAAATGAAACTAGACCACCTTCTTCCACCACATGCAAAAATAAATTTGAGTAGATTACAGACTTAAAGGTTAGATTCAAAACTATAAAAATCCTGGCAGAAAACATAGGCAGTAAAATCTTCGATATTTCTCATAGCAATACTTTTTCTGATATATCTCCTCAGGCAAGGGAAACAAAAGAAAAAAATAAATGGGGCTACATTAAACTAAAAAGTTTTTGCAAAGGACACCATCAACAAAATGAAGGCAACGCACTGAATGGGAGAACATATTCACCAATACATCTGATAAGGGATTAATATCCAACGTTTATAAAGAAAAAAAAACTTAGAAAACTCAACACTGAAAAAACGGTCCAATTAAAAAACTGCCGAAAGACCTGAATAGATACTTCTCCAAAGAGGACATATGATGGCCAATAGACATATGAAAAGATGCTCAGTGTCACTAATCATCAAGAGAATTGCAGATTAAAACCGCAATGAGATATCACCTCACATTTGTCAGAATGGCCATCATCAATAAATCAACAAATAGCAAGGGCTGACGAGGATGTGGAGAAAGAGGAACCCTCCACATTGGCGGGAATGCAGACTGTGCAGCCACTGTGGAAGGCAGTATGGAGACACATAAAAAAATTAAAAATGGAACTTGCCTTTTGACCTAGCTATTCTACTTTTGGGAATTTATCTGAAGAATCATAAAATGCTAATTTAAAAGAATATATCCACGCCTATGTTCACTGCAGCATTATTTACAATAGCCAAGATTTGGAAGCAACCCTAGTGTCCATCAGTAGATGAGTAGATAAAACAAATATAGTATATACATGCAATGGAATATTACTCAGTTGTAAAAAAGAAGAAATTTTTACCCTTTGCGACTGGATGGACCTGGAGAACATTGTGCTAAATGTCACGGAGCCAGTCAGAGAAAGACAAGTACCACATGACTTTACTCATATGTGGAATCTAATGAACAAACTGAACTAACAAGCAAAATAGAGAGACTCAGAGAGAGGGCAGGCTGACAGCCCTGGTGGGGGGATGGGGGTGGAAGGATCAACCAAAACAGAAAAAGAGTCAGGGCCTGGACCACAGTGTGGTGATTGGCGGAGGAGGGGTGCGGTGGAGGTAGAAGAGGGTGTAAGGCGATAAATGTTAATGGAAAAAATACGATAAAAAATAAACAATAGACAGAGACAAATGTATTTAAAAAGAAAGAAAACAAATCAAAACAAAACAAAAAATAATTAAAAAAAGTAAAAAAAATAATAAAAACAATTGTAGAATATTGGATATATTGTAGAAATTTACCCAGTTCCTGCAACACTGAACCTTAAAGCTGGAAAAGAGCATAACTTACGTAGAATCAAAATGATATGAATAAGTTAATGAAGATGTAAAATTCATTGTCATTGAACAAAAAGTCAGTATTAATCCAACAGTCAGTGAAAACGGTTAATAATTTTCCTGATGGTACACATTTTTTAAGTCCTAAAAGTAGCTTATTTTTTAAGTCTTAAAAGTAACAAAGTGAGAAAAAAGTAACTATCACAAACACACACTGCCATACAATCACATGCACACTCACATATCACATGTGCACACATGCACACACATTGACATATGCACAATTGCACTCAGAAGCTCATACACACGTGCACACATTCACACACAGACACCACATACCCTGTCATGCGTCTGTGTGCACGCGCACACACACTACCTCAGAAGAAGAGAAAGGTTTCTTTTACTCCTTGTTCCTTGCTGACCTGTTTGCCCTGGATTCGATGAGACATTTCATTGAAATGTGAGTGTTTGAATGTGACTCTTGCAGAAGCCCGGAGCGGAACCTCCGGAGGAGGAGGAAGGGACTAAGAGAGTCGACCCTCTGCATCAGCTGATCCTGCTGTTCAGCCGCACGGCCCTGACTGAGAAATGGTATGGTCAGGAAGAGGGTCCGTGTGATCCAGGGGAGAGGCGCGAAGGAGCCGTGCGGGAGTCTGTGTGTCACATCTTCGTGTCTCTGTGCCATCTGGTCTTGTTAGGAGAGAGCCTCATCCAAAGATGGGACGGGTCTGGCATGCACCTGGGGACCCATGTCCATTCTATTTCAAGCTTTAATACCTACTCCAGTTTCTCTGAACAGTTTTGTAACTTGCTCATTACTTGATTCTGAATCTTCTAACAATGATTTTTCTCTTTATCACAACCTTTATAAACAAAACAAAGGGCTGAAAGCAAATTTTAGGACTGAACATGTGTGGATACCGGTAGTGACCAAGGATTGTTGCCACTGTTCAGGAGGTCTTAGGGAACCTCCGGGAGCAGGGAGGCTGTCTCCTCAAAGGAGCCTAAAACAGGCTCCTTCTGTGGGGTCTGTTTTAGGGCATCCTCCATTGTCCTTGGCTTCTCCGGTCTCGTTCACGTGACTTCACCAAAGCCACAAGGGCCAGACCTCTGTGGGTTACATGAGAAACACGCTCAGGGGCCCAGGAACCAAAATGGGCCGACCTCTGCTCCTGCAGGGCCCTGCGTAGACGGGCTCTCAGACGAGATGTTTCAGAAGCTGAAGCCTGCCTCTGCCTCCCCACCCAGGGAGGAAAGCCTCCCTGCCCAGGCTGCCCCTCGTTCTCTGCGGAAGCTGGGAGGTGATTAGTTATCAGCCCATGTCTCCAGAGTCTCCTCAGAGCTCCGAGCAGACCTTTGGCCTCAGCACATGCCACGATGGCATGCGTTTCTCCCCCGACCAGTGCGACCCCTCCTTCTCTCACGGTTTCTCTCTCTCATTATTTCCTGACTAACAAAGTCATCTCATCCCTAAGCCTAGAGCAACTCTGTCTGGCATTGTCAGGTAATGAGCTATTTCTCATAAGTGGATTTTTCTGATGGCTGAAGTTTAAAACTGCTAAAATAACTTTGCAATGAGTTATTTTTTTATGGAAACCTTTCTTCATAATTTAATGGTTTCCATACTTCTTAAAAAGAGGGTAATAAACACTTAAACTTTTCTTAATTTTTAAAAATAGTTACGATTTTATAGCATAATTTGGGGAGTCTTTCCATCAAGGGTCAAATGTCACTTCTGTCAAAAACCCCTACCTCATTTAAATGTGCTTGTTTCAAGTTTTGTAGTTTCAAGAAAATGAAAGTTATTGCATTTGTGTGTAAATCATTCTCTGTGAGACACGCGGGTCTCTTCTAGAAGGTAAGGTGGGGCCACTGTTTAAGGTCTGAGATCTTTGCTTTCTAATCGTACAATATTGTTAGATGGTTACTTTGCCTAAGTTCTGTGTTCATTTCATTTTAAAAAGGTATACTTGTTAAAAAAAATTGGATATTTTATGTAATGGTAATTTTGCACATGACCAGTCTTCTACTTAAAAACAATGTTTTTTTTCTTGTTTTTCCTAGCAAACTGGAGGAAGATTTTTTATACATGGCTTATGCAGATATTATGGCAAAGGTAAATAAATATGAGTCTTAATTTTAAAGTTTAATAAAGTGAAATTAGTTTATCTGACAGAGGATAAGAATGTATGCATTTCTGGATTAAAACAAAATGCCCTGGACCTCAGACACCTCAGGTGTGTTCATCTCAACTTTCCACCTGTCCCGTAAGTCTGTTCTCCCTTCCTTGACAGGTGATCATTGTTTCCTCTTTTAACATTTATGGGGAGCTTACTAACTTTTCAAACATCCATTCATTCAACAAATGTTCCCTGGGCAGCAAGGTGCTGGAGATAACATGGTGAATAAGAAAGAAGGGTACACACCCTGTCTTCTTGGAATTTATTGTCTGATGGGAAAGTGAACACTTGAACAGATGATCACAGAAGGTCTGGTGCGTGTGGTGGTGGAGGAACAGGTTGCACAGCCTGTAGAGAGCTCTGCTTAGCCTGAGGTTTAAGAAAGCCCTCGATGGGGAAGGATGACTTGACCGGGCAGCAATGGTGGCAGCTGGTGCTCACTGTGTGTGTGTGTGGCACCAGCCTCGCGTGGGAGCTGGCCTTGGGGACGGGTCTGGAGGAGGAGCCGGTTCTTGCAGGCCTTGGGCCTGGCAGCTGGGGCGCTGGCGGTGCCTCGCGCTGAGTGGGGAGGAGTGGGAGGGCGCAGGCCTGCAGTGCAAGGATGACAGGTTCTGTGGTGCGCGCAGTAGTCGTGTGCAATGGCTGGGGGGAGAGGTCGCAGATGCGATGCGATGTTCATGTCTGGCGTTCAGTATCTCAGGGAAGGCTGACATGTACACACCTGGGCTCCATCCACATTGTGGGGTAACTGCCGCCATGGTCATGGTGGCAGCAGGTGCACAAGCAGAGAGGAAGCTGGTGGCCCATCCTCTGAGGATGTGGTGCTTAAGGGGTGGAGAGAGAGAGGAGCCCGTAAAAACAGGAGAGACTCCGTAGTGTGAGGATGTGCAGGGGCCAGTGGCCACGTGTGCAGTCAGTGTGGTTGCCTTCTGAGCACTGGACAGTGAGGGCCGAGTACCTGTTCACCACATGACTGCGGGAGGCACAGGCGGCAGGACTAGAGAGGACACTGGTGTGTGTGCGGGGCGGGGGGGAAATGCAGTTTCACATGGGAGGGACTTGCAGAGACATTCCTGAGAAAATGGAGGAGGAGAAAGACAGAATGGGAGGTGAAGGGAGATTATTTTGTTTGCTATTTGTTTACTTTTTTAAGAGATATTCGAACCTGCTTCTGTCCTGGTGGGAAGAACCCAGTAGAATGGGCGAGGGGCTAACTTGTGGAGTGTGGCTTCGAGTGGGTGGGGCGGGGGCGGGGCAGGTTACAGAGTGTGAGTTGGCCCGGGCAGTTGTCCAGCGTTATTTTAAAGCTGCATTTTCGATCTCTTTCATCTCATGGCACACACAAACTAATTGCCAAAATTCTGCAGCGTACCAAAAGTACATTTTTTGTTGATATGACAAAAAAAAAAAACTAAGTATAATTTTGATTCACTTATACAGGGCAGCTGTTCTGTGGTCTGTTGTCTTGTTTTTTTTTTTTTTTAATTTGACAATCCAAGGGAAAAGAGGTCAGTGTCCCTGACTAAATAGGTATTCTGTGTTTTAAAAATCCTTGTGGTTCACTGGTAGAAAACTGCCCTTTTAAACCATAACCCATAGTAAGAAATACATTTCCATCATTTTTATAGAAACATAAAAATACTTGGAAAGAAAATGTTCATGAAATTATACCATTCCTCTGAGTAGTACAGTTTGATATTTTCTATTCTATTTAAATTTTTAAAAATGAGTGAGCCCTGACTGGTCTTACTCAGTTGGTTGGGCATTGTCCTGCAAACTGAAAGCTCATGGGTTCGATTCCTGGTCAGGGCACATGGCCTTAGTTGTGGGCCAGTCCCTGGTCGGGGGTGTGTGAGAGGCAACTGATCGGTGTTTTTCTCACACATCGATGTTTCTCTCCCATTCTCCCTCTCTTCCCAATAAAATATTTGTTAAAAATGCTTGAGATCATAACTTATTAAATAGACTTTACAGCCAATTAATGGGTTGAAATCCATAGTTTTAAATGACACTGGATTAAAAGATTAAGAGGAAGATGCTTCCTCCTTGTGCAGGAGGTTGGCATGGAGTTCTGACCAAAAGCTACAGGGTCTTTTCTTACAAAATGTTTTATTACAAAATCATAAGCATGTAATTCTGTAATGTAACAATATCACACTCAAGCATACCATGTGAAATTTTAGGTGAAATGTTCAAATTAAAACTAAATATTATTGCATCCATATTATTACCCTACCAAGCATACTCAAGCAGGCATTACTTCTGCCAGACCCTGTACTAAAACAGGCACCAGCGATGCAGAAGGCGGGCTTAGGCAGCAGTGCTGTCTTCCCAGCAGCTCTCGGGACCAGATGCAGATCAGAGAAGGTCGGAGGTTGTCATCAGAAGAGGGCTTGGGCAGGGTCCCGCAGAGAACCGAGGGGCGTGGCTGGGGCTGGAGCGCAGGCTGCAGCCAGAAAAATGAAGACTCAGGAAGAGGGAGCTGTGTTGGGAGACGACCAAGGCGTCCTAGATGGCAGACGGGCAGATGCCTTGGCCTGGTGGTGGGCTGAACTGAAGGGCTCACCGGCTTTGTCACTGCAGAGCAGCCTGCCTCCCTGTTTGCTCCGCTGGGCCCTAAAGCTGAATCTAATCTCTGTTGCTAGGCAGTCAAATATGTGGTGAGGCCCTTGTTTTTCCATCATGTTTCCCTTCATGGTTAAATAATCATTAAAAAAATTTTTTTTTTACTTATAAATAATGTTTATTCTATTACAGTTGTTTCAATCCATACCCCTTTACCTCCCTCAACCCATCCCACCCCCACCCCCTGCTCCCACAGTCAGTTTGCACTCTGTTGTCCATGTCTATAGGTCATTCATACATGTTCATTGTCTAGTCCCTTCCCCTTCTTTCCACCATTGTCCTCTTTCTCCATCCCCTCTGGTCACTTTCAGTCTGCTCCCTGTTTCTGTGCCTGTAGTTTATTTTGTTTGTTAGTTTATTTTGTTGAATAGAGTCCACTTATAGGTGAGATCATATGGTATTTGTCTTTCATCAACTGGCTTATTTCACTTAGCATAATATTCTCCAGTTCCATCCATGTCGTCACAAAAGGAAGGAGTTCCATCTCTCTCTTTCTTTTTTAAATGCAGATTGATTTTATTTATTTTTCAGATGTCAGAGTTAATTATAAAATATTAAAAAAAATTAAAACCATTATAAAGTCTCAGCAATTAAACCAACATGACATCAGCACAGAAATAATCAAGTAGATCAATGAAATATAATGAGCATTCTAGAGACAAACGTATATATCTGTCTAACAATATATGGTTAAGTTGATATTTCAAATCAATGGGGAAAATAAGGCTTATTCAACAAATAAGGTGCATGGACCACTATTACTTGAAATAAAACAACTATAGAGCCCTATTTCACATATTATACAAGAAATATTCAGGTGAGTTAAAAATCAGTATGTAGAATCTAAGGAGTTTTAGAAGAAAATAGAACTAATATTTTTCATGACCTGAAGTAAAATATTCAAACCCAGAAGTTATAAAGTAAGTATTGACAATATGACTATATTAAACATTTAACTCTATAGTAATATACATGTAAAAGAAGTTAAATGACAAGGAATAGAATAGAAGAGTATTTGCGACACATCTAAAACATGGTTAATAGGTTTTTTCCTGTTTATTTTTTTTTAGGGAAAAAAGTTCTACAAACCTTTAATCAATAAATGGATAAAGAATACCAAAAAGTCATTTAAAGCTTTTTTTAAATAATAGAAATAGGCAAGAAATATACTAAAACAGGTTTAGTTTCAACAAATAGTAAAAGAACAATTAAAATAACATCATTGTCACAATCAGATTAATATGTATTAAAAATATTGGTAATATCAAGTATTGGCAACTCTGAAAGGAACTAGTATTCATAGAAACTTTTTCTTCATCTTAAAGCAGTCCCTTTAGCATATTTTGCAGTGCTGGTTTGGTGGAGGTGTAGTCTTTTAGCCTTCTTTTGCCTGGGAAACTCCTTATTTCACCTTCCATTTTAATTGAGAGCCTTGCTGGGCAGAGCAGTCTTGGCTGCAGGACTTTGCTTCTCATGACTTGAAATATTTCTTGCCAGTCCCTTCTGGCTTGCAGTGTTTCTGTTGAGAAATCAGCTGCTAGCTGTGTTGGGGCTCCCTTATATGTTACTACCTCTTTCTCTCTTACTTGCTTTAGGATTCTCTGTTTGTCTTTGATATTTGCCATTTTAAAGATGATGTGTCTTGGAGTGGGCCTCATTGGGTTCCTCTTGATTGGGACCCTCTGTGCTTCCTGGACGTGTGTGAGTTTTTCTCATCTCCAATGAGGGAAGTTTTCCATCATGACTTTTTCAAACAGGTTCTCTGTCCCTTTCTCATCCTCTTCTCCTTCTGGTATCCCTATTATACAGATATTATTACATTTCAGGTTGTCCTGCATTTCCCTAATGCCTCTTCATTCTTTTTGAGTCTTTTTTTCATTTTCTTGCTCTCTCTGGGAGCTTTTTTCTACCTTGTCCTCCAGCTCGCTGATCTGTTCCTCTGTTTCATCGAGCCTGCTTTTGATTCCTTATACTGTGTTCTTCAATTCAGAAATTGTATTCTTCATTTCCTCTTGTCTCTTAGTGATAGTTTCTATGTCCTTTTTCATGCTGATAGAGTTTGCAGTAAGTTCCTCGTCGTTTCCCTGGAGTTTTTTGTAATTCTCTCTGAGCTCACTGAGCTCATTGAGCTTCCTTAGAACCGTTGTTTGGAACTCAGTATCTGATAGTTTAGTTGCCTCTATTTCATTTAGTTCTCTTTGTGGGGATTACTCCTTTCCCTTCGAGTGGGGCATATTTCTTTGTCTTCCCATTATTTGTGAGACTCTTCTCTTTTGCTTGTGATTCTTAAGTTGATCTGTCTTGATCTCCT